CGTTTGGCTCAAAAAAACTGAAAATTCAGGTGTAATGGTTTTTTTGACATTTAGAAGTACAAGTATCATGGGTAACTTATCTCTGTTAGTTATTGCTTGCTAGCTTGGCTATTTTATAATGAGATTTGGAAACATAACAACAGTTAAAACCAATTAATGAATGATCGATTGAGCAACATTTCCTTGTAGATGTCTACGAATACGTGTTGCTATGTGTCCAATAACATTTATAATGATGACTTTTATAAACATGTTCTTTTATCCTTGACTTGGAAATTTCCAGAGAGGGGGTTTTTATAATTAAAAAAGATCCATAGAGCAGTTATTTACATTTACGTTCTCATCTATACATACAAATATGATCACTTTGCTATTTATAGCAATTTGATCATATTTCAGGTATAAAGTTGGAAGGTAAATTGGTAAACCACACAGCACTGAATGTATATTTTAATAAACATTCAGTGCTGTGTGGTTTACCAATTACGAACAGCAAAAAGTATATGAATGTTTCTTTTATCAGTGTGAGGTATTTTCCTTTTAATTAGCCACATACTGTCATACTTCTATGTACATTTAATTGGGCAAACTTTATATGTTAATAAATGTTATTTTCCTGTTACTAATACCAGGCGATATTTTTGCGGACAATGGAATGTGACCTACTATCCTGTAGGTTCGTTCTATGTAGGTACAATCGTTCGAGGTAGGTAAATCACTGGAGGGACATGACACCCGTTCCTCCACACTGATTACCGCTCATCGTTGCGGGGTTGTTGGGGTTGTTTTATTCATATCACGTCGGGGTTACCTGTTCCTTCACAGTGGTGACCCCGACATAAAGGGACCATCCTCCGACCAGGCAAGGTTATCATGCCTGGTGGGCCACAGCCCAACGGTTCTTCTGGTCTTCACACCGCCCCGCAAAGGACGTACGGTGCACCGTACCAGCCACCGCGGTGGCTGGTTCGGGGTTTCGGCCAGCGGTGTCTACCGCCCAACGATTGATGTTAGAAAGTTGTATATATGCAGGATTAGCAATTCTCATTCAGGAGTTACTCCGTAGTTCGTTGTGTCTTCGTTAGATGGCACTGTAATATGTTTATGTTTCTTTGTATGTGGGAGTCGCCGATAATTATGTGACTACAATAATTACATATGACATGCACAAATGAAGTGGACATATGAACAACTTCACGAAGTCTATAACTATTTATTGTTCTTTGTTCTCTTCCTTTATCTCTGACACGAGACACGAGACGTGACACGAGAATTTTATATATTAGATATTTAAGTTTGCATAACTTAAGAATAACTAATAACAACTTCACAGGCCAGTCAGATTCCAGACTAAGCCGCGCCTGCTATGCTAACCAGACTAGGCTAAATATTTCTAAAAAAATAAAAATCTAAATATTATCGATAAATTACACCCAGACACAGAACAAATGATCATTATCATCACATCACAAAATCATTTGTCCTGTCCTACGGCGTAGCAGTCAGGGTCACTAACCACTAGACCAACAGGCGCGTTAAGTGCACAATATTTCTATTTAATTTTGTTCTACGCTCGCTACCTTCTAGCAGAATTACTCCTGCTCCACTGTGCCAAAGAAAACGCCTATCATTTTTAAAAGATATTCGCGGTCGGAGTTTTGGTTAACAAGGTATTTTAAGTTGAGTGTTTTTTCTTTTATACTTTAATTAGGTATGTCGTTTCATACAAGTCTTCCTACATTGCTAAACTCTCTTATATTGATAAGAATGTCTATAAGATGCAGCATCTTACCGCCTTTCGTAATTTTAAGAAACCATGATCGGTTACAGTTACCACTTAAGTAATTACTATGTAGTGCAAAATGTTGTCGCTAGATGACACCACACTGTTTTTTGCGCAGTGGATCTACGCAATACAGTGAAGTTTACTTATATTATACTTTTAGTATAATATGTAACTTTTTGACAGCCACAGTCACACACACTGATACATGACAAAGCCAACGTGTCTAGCATTAGCTGGACTGGATAAGAGACTTTTAAACGCTGTAAACTGATTACTATTAATTTTATCCATATTAGCATAAGATCACTAAAACGAACACTGGTTAAGTTTGAAATCGTAGCTTGGCACAGAGCTCAGGCTTTTGCGTTTTTGACGTAACTCGTGACGTGAAAGAGTTAAATTATTTATAAAGTTATCGAGAACATACGAGTATATTGAACTGTAAGGATATAATCCGAATCTCTTATTCAGAAAAAAATATTTTATTAATTTTTAAACTTTCGCGTTCCATGATAATTAATATTATTTAACGGGAAAAAGAGATCGCGTTAATTCCCGTTAAATAATATTAATTAATTTTATTAATTGTCAAAATCTACGTAAGTTAAGGCGCGGGCAAAAGCTAATTTAAAAGCCTATTTAAAACACTAAAACCCATATCACTTTTAATATTTATTCTATTCGTAATATACATACGAGTATAGGTAGTCCTCGAGAACAACTTCTACTTATGAATAGGCTGGACAAGAAATTGATAAATAAATTAATCAGTACATTATTGATGACTATATTGTGAGGGAATTTATTAAAACTAACGTACATTACAACTCATATTATTTTAGATAACCCAATTAACTGAATTTATTTAAACTCACTTTTGTGCTTTGCTTATTTTGCTAGATAAACGAGAATATTAAATCAACACTTGGTTAAGTTTTCTGACGATAAACACGGTTTATGACAAATGCATTATTTAAATTCCTTAATTGATTTTAAGATGTGGACATTTAAAAATATGTATCTTCAAGAGGCATATTGTTTTTTTTATAATAAATAGTTAAACAAGAGTTTTTCTTTCTTAAGACTTTCATAATTTAAATGGTTGTAACTTTTAAATGTTATTTATCTAAAAATAAAGTACAATGGGAACATTTAGATAGAAAGAGAATACTTATTCTCCAGTGAAAGTAGTAAAAATTCGTGGAGAAGCTATCAATCATGTAAAAATATGATTGTTGATCTATACAAATAAATAAAATTTAAGTGTCTGTTTGTAATGTCAACATAATAAATTTTTTTCATGCTCACACGATTATTTGCACATATACGCTTAAAACCTGTAAATCTTCAGGGTAATTATCTAAACGGCTGGACCGATTTTGATACTATTTAATTATCAGTTAGCTGTTTATATAAGGAGTAACTTAGGCTATCTTTCCTCTTGGAAAACCATATAAAATTTTGCTCGGTCCGGGAATCGAACCCACTAAGGCAGCGCTTTTCAAATTCCACTCGAACGAACCCGCGACGGGTACCAGCTAGTCTTATATATAAAAATGAATTGCTGTTCGTTACCCTTACTAAAACTCGGGAATGGCTGGACCGATTTGGCTAAGTTTGGTCTAGAAATATTTGTGAAAGTCCAGAGAAAGTTTAAACGGTGAGAAAATATGAAAAACATGCGAGGAAAATAGTAAAAACAACAATTTTATTTGTCCATATAAAATATTTGTATGTGGCACATTTGGTTCGTCGGTACAATAAACTTAAGCCTCTTCTCTTAAAGAGCATTTATTAAATAAGGGTTTCGAATCTTGATTTGAAATATTTTCGGTATGACAAATGAACTATTCAATATTTGACAACCTTGTTGGTTGTCAAATATTTATGGGTGTGATCAGAAATTTATTTTGTGACTAAACTTAGAAAAACAAATCAGAAATCAAATTCCGTTATTTATACTAATATTACTCGTATGAAGCTGAAGATTTTGTTTGTTTGGTTAAACGCGGCAAACAGAGGAGCTACTAGTTCGAACTGAAAAGTTATTAAGTGTTGGATAGCCCATTTATTGAGGAAGGCTATATAAACATTACGCTACGACCAAAAAGAGATTCTTTTTTATAGACGCAGATGAAGTGCGGGGGTTAGCTAGTACGTAATAAAAACTATGTTACGTTGTAATTAAGTGATAAATTTTGTTATTCAAAAACCTTAAACTATGAGAAACCAATGATGAGAAAATTGTCAACTATTATCGTATGACTGCAAACAAGACGCAATACGTTCATATTAACCAACGAAAAAGCTAAAACATGTCAGAACTGTAAACTTGTAACTACATTTTTAGGTCAATACTCGGAGAAGAACTGTCATTTAACTGGTCAGTGATGTAATTAAATTAGTTGAACTAATTTAGCGGGCAATTTACAGATTTGACACCACTGAACCACACCACTGGGATGTCGATTACGATACATGAAATCTATTAGTATATTTTATTCTTTTATTTTGTTTTCCAAGTAGTTTGCTAAACCTACGTATTTAACACGTTCATGAGATGTGCAAGATAATATTGATAATCTAAAATATCTTGTTATCAGCACACGACTGCTTGTTCAACGTTGTATAAATATACATTAGTTTCAAACGAAGAGATATTGATAACAACGTTGTTGTATTAACTATTGTCTTGTACAATTAAAATATTTAGAGAAAAGTAGGAATTTACATCTGTTGAAAAATGCATGCAGCAGAATAAAATCATAGCCCTGTTATACTCCCAAACGAAACATGAACAAATATCATTTTTCGTTCCTTGTCATGGAAATTTCCCAACGTTATTTTCCTGTCCTGACTTTGTCAGTAATGAAGTAATGGATTTAATTTAAGGTATCGATTTGAGGGTGTAAATAATATAAATCGATCAATGACATCCTCATATGACTAATACTTTCCTTTAAAAGGAAACGAACGGTAATTCAGCGCACATTTCTAAACAACGAGTCGAGTTAATATTTTATTAATATTAAGTGTTGTCATCATGCTATTGATGAATGTATTAGATCAATAGAAATATTTGTTCTCATAGCTTATTATATAACAGGTTAATGATACGAGTTGAACTTGAGTCCAGATATATGATAGCTATTATATCAGAGAACTGTGCGTAGCCGTCACTATTGACGTGTTTTTGTATCTAATTATTATAAAAATGGGTATAATCTATGTGTTCTTTGTGTTGTTACAAATTAGTTATGGATTTAGTGCCAATATTAAGGTAAGAGCTTTATCTTTGTGACATGTATCTGTAATGTGTGATAATGGGCACGATAAACTATATTTTTCATTGCACGTAGACCGCAGTCCGGGAATATATAAATCTTGTATTACTAGAAAATGTTTTACATATGTTATTTTTACTAATATGTTTAGTAATCACCGTTATACTAGTAGTTCTTAAATGAGTTGCTATGGTTCATGTGAACTGCCAATTATTATAATCAAATCTTTAAATACAGTATTTTAGTTAGCCTACGCCATCCCGAGACGATTAATAACAGAAAAATTAGTGTTTGTATATTGAATTTAGTAAAAAACGCTATTGATTGTTCTAAATGATTAAACATACTCGTGTGAATATGAATCCCACAAAAATGTCCTATTTAATATTTTGAAGGATAAGCCCGGAGAATCATAGTGCAAAACAAATTTAGAGAACTACACATGCAGTCAGTACATACCACCAAATATATTAAAGAAATAAAGTCAACATGTCATACATAAAAAACAATTATTGTTAAAAATAATCAAAGCCTTATTTACGAATCCTTAACTGAAAGATCACCCGAAATACCAGAAATGGAATCTGTGCTACAGCCGACCCTAAGCTTGTAATGTTTAGAAGTCCATTGATGACAATAGGGCGGTCCATTCAATGCAACGGTGGTTGAAAAAAAGAAACGGATTTAAAAATAGTTTACTCACTATATTGCTAAAACTGATCAACTTTGACCTAAAATAAATATAGCATCGCGTCTATATTAGAAAAGGGTTAAATCACAAGTTTTATTTTATCACTTTTTTTAAATAACATATGACATCTTAAAGTGATGTGGTCCAATCATCGCAATATTCCCCTAATACGAAAGTAACTCTACCGTCCGTCTGTTACGATTTTAAGACTAAACCACTGAACCAATTTAGCATGGAGAAATCCGACATACACGCGGATAGAGTCATGGGCAAATGCTAGTATTATATTATGTCAATACGATTTAAAATCCAATCACAGACAATAAGACATTGTATGATTTCTAATATCTTGGTTTAATGGATGGGTAAAATAGATAATATCTGAAGGCCAAACAGAGCTAAGATTCACAAATTTCACAAATTACTTCAAGCATCTTTATCGCCAATGTCAGTATAGTCTGCCTACAGTTAACATATTTGACACTGTATCCAATCTTTGTTACACTCTCCAAATAGGTATGACCAACAAAACCACTGAAGGTCTTTCTTTGTCGGCAAATTCTTACCTTTTCATAGTTACTTTGTCTTACCGTTTTTTAAATTAAATTAGTCTACGTTTTGTATCATCCAAAACACTTTTTTTAAATAAGGTACATTATTTTACTTCATTGTTTTCTTGTTGTTCCCATGTTCCGTTGCTTCTATTATACACTTCGGTATAGGGATGACCTGCAGTCAGCCCTATACCGAAGTATGTAATAGCCATCCCTGTTTCGTTAACAATTAATATGCGGGGAAGTTTTATTATATCCTGCTACGAGATCAATAAGGAGGCCAAGAAGTTATCTACCGTAATTTTGTTAACCTTTTCGTGTGCACTTTTCATATCTTCTTTTCATGAGTGTTTAATCGTTTTGCTTTGTAGTTGCGTATCTTGAAAAAAATAAAGCGTTTACAAAAAACAATGATTAAAAAAATACACTCGTTCACCAAAAGTATTCATAAACCATATTATATAATTAAATGAGAAAAAAAAAACAACTTTAAAGAAACTACAAAGCAAAATTTAACCTTTGTACCTTGTCGACCGAGCAGTATCGCCTTTTAATTAAATACTAGTACAATTTCGATTATTCTAACATGAACCTCATTATTTTTTCTTATTTAAAACAAACAGTAGTAATTAATAACTAAATAAACCTGAACGCAAAGCTTGAGATCTGAGAGACGGATAAAAGTGACAAAAAATTCGAAAAGTCCGTGTCGGAATATATGTTTCTTTACTTTAGTTTCAAGGTTTAATTTTACTACTTTATCAGAGTGATTAATAAATACGGCCGTACAAAAACTACAGCGTATAAGTACTAACTGTATCAGACACAAAGACGGGCCGAGGGACTGACAGACATGGCGGAACGCTAAAAACGAAGAATCAATTTTTCAATAAAAACTTGCCTTAGTAAGGTATAAGCACTTGAGTTTTAAGAGCATTGACTGACCGAAAGCTACAATCATATACACTACTATACTGTAAACAGCAAACCAAAATATAATTTTATTTCTATCGATTTATAAAAAGTTAATTTTCATTAAAAATATGTAACAGAAACATTTGTTCTCCTCACTATGTGAAATAGAACATAATCCTTTTCATTGTGAAATGCACCCTTTTAACTACGCGTTTTAAATTACATAATTAATTTGGAAATTAATGGCGGTCGGAAAGGACAAGCAAACGGTAAGTATGTAATACCTGTTAATCATATTAATTCCCAAAGTAATTATTTGTTATGGAACCCGAAATTTAACTAAAATAAATTTAGAATGGAGTATTTAGAATTGTAGAAAGCGAATTTATGTTATAAAGTTGAAAATAGGAACAACAAAACTACAGAAGACGACAAGTGTAAACAGGAGGACAGCTCAAGTAATAATACTGAACAATGAAAAAAAAAAACATTAAAAAACTTTGATATTTATGACCGTAACGTAACTGACAGAGGTACTCTACTTTTAATGAATGTATGATTTCAATGTCATGTTGATGTCTCGTGTGCTATACTTTATTTTTTTACGCAACTTAGGTTATCTTATAAATTATGCAATAACTAAATACGCGCAAAATTATTATTTTTCTTACACATTTACTTTTAACGAAATAGTAAGACGTAAAGCATTATAATAATGAATGATGATAATGTTTAATTATGATGATAAGATGGACTTAAGATATCCTTTTAGTTAAATATTTAAATGAAATATTTTATTAAACAACTATTGTCATTGTATACCTATTTCCCAAATATGTAAATATATATAAAGCAATTATGATAGAAGGATGCTTTTGAGTCTAACATACTGAAATGGTTAATTTGATTTAATAACTAGCTAGACTAGCTTCTCCCTGCGGCTCGATTCATTTAAAAGTAATTATTTTATGCCTCCGTACAATATTTGTTCTTGATGAAAAGTACCCTTATGTACTCCTGACATTAGAGTACCTTTTGATGATGAAAATATGATGGGGTTGATAGGTTGAACTGTACGACAATGCATACTTATTATCAAACACCTTTTTTTTCCGTGCGGAAATCCCCTCGGATACCACCTATTGGTTTCATGTCGGACTCGAACCGTTTAAAACCGCACGCCGTCTCGGGTACTAACAGCCGGGGAACCAGGTATACCCTAGAAAGGAAGTCTCTGGTGCCCCGACATACCTCGGGCCATCTACAGACGAGTAGACGACCCCCCTATTATCAAACACCTAAGCATGAATAAAGAATTTTTGTTACAATATACAAAACAACACTAAAAGGGAAAACATAGATTTGTTGCAATATAAATGTTACAAAATATTTATAAAAAGTATATAGGTATGTAGAGCATTTATGTTAATAGAGAACATTTAAAATAAATAGAATCCAAATACTATACATTGACTCTTGTCCAGAACGAATTAGAAGAACACTTAGCTACATAATCTATTTTATTACACATAACATACCTACACTTAATATTTATTTATTTACTTAAAACTTTCTGGACATTTGTACGATGGCGGACTAGTTTATAGATTACCTGTTTCAGACAAAACGTGTTTGTATTATTGGAGCCGGGATATCAGGGATATCCTCAGCTAGGTACTTAAAGGAAGAAGGAATTAACTTCACAGTTTTTGAAGCAACGCGGTATCTCGGAGGCACTTGGCGTTATGATCCTCGTGTGGGCACTGACGAAAATGGTTTACCTTTACACACCAGCATGTACAAAGACTTAAGGTATAAGTTAATACAAAATTGTTACGAAATATATATATTTTCAAACTGTTTAGACTAACTAGTGCAGTGCATTTCTAGAACCAACCTTCCGAAGCCGACCATGGTGCTCGGAGGATATCCGCTACCAAAATCTTTGCCGTCATTCCCATCATGGAAGGATTACTACCGTTATATACAGGATTATGCAGAACACTTCGATGTTGTGAAATACATTAAGGTAATATTTATAACATTAAATAACCTCTTAAAATTATATGTAAGACTTCCATACATGTATGATAATTATGACGCAGACTTCATACAAATAATCTTTGAAGGAGGTGCAACAATAACAAGATAATGTATTTTTTATTGTAAGGTTGTAAATGAATTGTGTTAGCAATGAATGTGGGCTATTACTGGTTAGTTTTTTTTCATGTGTACCTAAATGCTTACATCATGCAGTATTTCTATTCACAGAATCACAGTTGTCAATCAAAAAGCTAGTAGTAGGTATTTTGCCATTGCCAATAGGTACAGTACTGACAGAAAAACATTTTCATTTAAATCTTTTAGGATCATACTTTAATAATATATAATAATAATGTATCTATATGTTTGTCTAAAGCTAATATGTGAGTAGCTTATGTTGTAGGTGCTTAGTTTCAGACTAAGTAAGATAACAAATATACCTTAATTATGCTTTTTAGTTTCTGCACAATGTCATTTTAGTGAGCAGAAAGGATGATACATGGAAAGTAAAATATGAACACGTAATCACAAAAGAGGTGTTTGAAGAAGAGTTTGATTACGTCATTGTTGGCAATGGACACTGTAGTAAACCAAAAATGCCAAATATTCCTGGTGAAAATCTATTCAAAGGTAATTTGAATATTTAAAATATGCCGAATATTATATTAAAAAGACCCCAATAATCCTCGGAGATTAAAAATCCCCTTCCCCCTATAATCCTATAAACTTATGGAAGAAGCCTCTATTATGTACAGTTCACTTTGGGTAATTGACCTGGTACCCACCCAGATGCGCTAACTCTGTCACCACGGTGTCATCAACCTAATAATGACCGATTTACTTAATATCAAACTATTCTTGAATCTTAAATTTTAATCTGTATTGCAAAATGCACTGACATTTTTTGTATGTACTACAAAAAGTATTCTACTAATTTGAACCTCCAGCTAGCTGTGACCCGATCTATGGACCTTAAGCATGCTTGCTGCTTACCAAGTGCACAATTTTAAACTTCATTAAAGTGATATTTTATGACATTACGGTTTACTTTTTTTTGTCTTGAGAGGGAAAGAAAGGGAGAGAGAGATAATTTCTCAGAATACAATAGGTACTCGTAACTGTTATTGTCACGTAGTAGCACAATTCAGGTTATCGGTAAATAAGTTTTATTATACATAGGTACTTTTTTTTAGGTACGATAATCCACAGCCACGATTATAGAGTAACGGATCCTTACAAAGACCGTCGCGTACTGGTAGTAGGAGGGGGCCCTTCAGGTATGGACATCGGGTTGAATGTGGCCGAGATTAGCAGGTCTCTTATTCACAGCCGACATTCTAGGGTTAAATTCAGAACGCAATTCCCATCTAATTATGTGGAGAAGCCAGATATAAAAGAGTTCAATGAGACGGGAGCAATATTCGTCGATGGAACATTTGAAGAAGTGGATGACGTTATTTATTGCACGGGTGAGTTTTTAAGGATAAGAAACATACAAAATAAGGTAAAAAAAATAGAAATGATATGTATGTTGAAAGAAAATGTGTAAGTGCAAAAGAATATTGAAAGCAATACAGGTCCCTTTTTGCTTTCAATATTTTTTTCTGCTTGAGTAGAACTTAAATATTAACAACAAAAAAAAATGGCATTTGATAATGTAAGAGTAAAAAATTGTTTTCTACACATAAATACAAACATTTTTTCACGACTATTTAAGGTATTCCTATAGAGTATTAAGACAAACAGACAGAGGCGTATTAAACAGTCAAATTTTAATATCTGCAATTTTAGTCCTACGTACGTAGTACAGGAAAAATCCAATGTCATCACCGGGACTTAAAGGGTTAGATTTGAAAATAGGAAGTACATTGAAATGGATGGTCGATAAGTAGGGTAGCAATTTTAGGAAAGGGATACCTCTTACACGGGATCATCAACCGCCTCAACAGTCCACTGCTGGACATGGACCTCTTCTTGAAAAAGAGGTTTAGACTCCCTTTGTTGGCTCCTACGACACCCACGGGATGAATATGGGTGGTGACAATTTGTATTCGTAACCCGTCACCGATGGATGGGTAAAAATAACTCCAGGAAGTCAGGATCGCATACCTGTAATTTGAATTTATTATTGCAGGAAAGTCCGTTTTTTAATAAAATCACCACATCGGTTTATATTAGGTCTTTACCTATGAAATTGCCGTTTTGTATGCAATAAGTGAAAGTACTTATTTTTTCAAACTTTTTTTATTTCTATTATTCGAATCACCCATGCAATCGACGCATCTTTGCCAACGCATTGGCAGTTTATTGATGCCCTTCTTGTAAAAATCAGCTTGGCGGGAGGCAACAAACTCTTCAAAGGCATTTTGTACTGCCTCTCGGGAATTGAATTTTTTACCCACTAAAAAGTTGTCTAAATTTTGGAAAAAGTAATAGTCGGTAGGTGCAAGGTAAAGACCTATTAGCTTCCACAGTCTTTAAACTATTTGTCTGGACAATCTATAAAAAGTTGTCTTAATACCTACCCGGTTTTCAGGTTTCGAATACAACTACCCGTTTTTAGATGAAACAAGTGGTTTAACGATAAAACCGAAAGTCTTGTATCCACTTCACCGACACATGGTGAATATCAGGCAACCTACAATGGTCATCTTTGGACTAACCATTAGAGCATGTTTAGTGGTCGCCATAGATGCACAGGTAAGAACTATTTAAATATGTATGCACAGACATGCACCCTTATCATGTTGCCCTCGGGTTTATTCCAGATTTTAGTCGTATCGTTTACGAACTTGTCAAATAAGGTCAAATATCACTTGGTGATTTTTTAAACAAAGGTCGTGAATGTCTCATAAAAGATACACAAAATTAAAACAAATCCAAACCATTAAACGGCTATACTTAATTATGCTGTTCCAGACAATTCTACTTAGTGCTTAGTAATAAAAATGTCGATTGACATATCAGTGTATTATAACAATATGTGTAATAATATAAATGATGATGAACTGCAATAGTTACACAACAACCTAAAACAAATATAGTTAAGGGTACCATGGTTGATTTACTGTAATTAATTTTTTTAAGGCTCGGTACGCAACGGCACTAATAAAAGGTAACTTCACTCTGCCTTCCGAGGCTGAGATGATGCGAGAGTGGGAGAAACAAATGGCACACATATCTAAACATAAACTACCCTCGTCTCATATACATGTGTTGGCACAAAAAGAGGTAAGAAAGAATATATCACATCGTATAATATATCGTGCTGCATTTTAATCCAAAAATGCATACAGAAAGTCATTATTTATAATAGACGTGACATTGCATAAGACATGACATGTTAATTTAGGTTTATATTTTACTGCATTCAAATCAAGTATAATAGGTGTATTATGTTGATAACACAACAGCTAAAATAACCATCAATTAAAATATTATGATGCAGTTTTCGTAACGGCGTCGTTAAAGTTAAATAAATACCTATACATGAAGTTAAATGCAAAATTTTGATAAAATATAAAAATAAAGATAAAGGTTTACTACTAATATTTATGGCTGGTAAAAAAAAACAATCAATTACTCGGTGTGACAGAGAAAGCGCAGCTACCAATTACAATAAATCAAGTAAAGAGAAAAATGCCTCCTAATGTTTAAAAACACAATCCCGAAGTCGTAGTTTTTTTTAAACTCATGGAAACATTTAATTTTTTTGGAGTAACTCAGTTGTTGTTACGTGGTTTGTTTTCGAAACTGAATATCAGTATTGAAATAATTAGAGATAGTGGCTTCGATAAAATGTACAAATGTTATAAAATAATATGATGAAAGGATAAAAGTAAAAAAAGATACTTTTCCGAAATCCCAACAAAAGTCGAACTTATAGATATAAACCCGATATATAACTGTTCAGGACACACGATTCCTTTTCTCCAAATTTTTAAACACTGTTGTTACACACTTGATGTTAAATACTTATATTTTTATTTCTTTTGTACTATCTTTTAAACTTTTTACTGTAACTGGAAAACTTTTTGGAAATGGGTAAAGACATCAGGAGAATGTTTATTTTTCTATTTCTACAATAAGGTACTTATTGCTATAAAACTTCACAGTATTTGAAGATTTGTGATATCTCCTCAGTACAGCATTTGGCACTTTAAAACAAAATCAATTTATTATTTTCAGGACGAGTACTACGCGACCCTCTCCGCCGATTCGGGTATATACCGAGTACCTCCTGTCATATACTACATTCGAGCGAAGGATAATGAGGCGAAGCTAGAGAATCTTTATACATACAGAGATTATGAGTACAAAGTCATTGATGATCATACCTTCACTAGAAGGCTACAAAGAAAATCCTAATACCTCATTAATAATCTACATTAGTATTATAAAGCGGATTGGTTTTAGATTGAAGCGACTAATCTCAATACATATAAAAGTTCGATTTGTAAAATTATGCCGTAGATAACTAGTTTAATGACAGAAGTAGGATTCAAGAGTCATAGAAGTGTCGCAGTAACTATAAACGGATATTAAGTGTGAAGCTATTGTTAAAAAGCGATTTAGTACACAATGGACAGATGTCTTAAGGAAAACCAAGTGTAATATTTTTTTACTTAACTAAGATTATTGTTTATTTAAATTAAGATTATAAGATTTGTAATTATATGTTATAACTATGAGTAAAGTTATTTATTAGTCAGTGTATCTTAAAAAATCAACAATGGCTTAGTGTATTAGTATTCCCACCCACGCAACGTGCATATTATTGAAGCTTTACAAATATCATAATTATGAATTTCTATTTTATAATTTTGCAGTCAAATCAATCCATATACTTACCATTAACATAACATAATAAAATTCACGAGATGTGTGAAATATTCATGTACAAGTTTGTACGGTACCCTCGGTTAAAATGACAGATTTGAAATTTGACGGTTTCTTAAATTGCTCTTGAGATGTTCAATACTTTGGTGTGTATAATTCCGTATATGTGTATTATGTAAGAATGTACATAAATATAGTACGAACAGTACTTATGTCTTTATTTGAAATATTCAGCGTCACACGTGCATAAAATGTTGAGTGTCACATAAAAAATATGATATATGTAGAATTTAATGTAAATTAACTGTAATTTAATTACTTTTAGTTAATTTATTATTTCTAATTTTTTTCTTTAAAATTATTTTTTTATAAATAATAATAATAATATTTTCGAACATCTGATACACAACGCCATCTAGTTTCAAAGTAAGCAGAGGTTGTTATATGAAAGCTAGTTTGACAGATAGAATACTTGTTACTTTTTTGTAAATACATACATATTATAGATAGAAAACACCCAAAACCGAAACAAATATTTGCAAATCATACAAAATTTGGTCTAATCATTTTACATAAGTAATGATTTGAATTTTGAATGCATTACGCTTATCATAATAAATACTCTTCTTGTTACTCTTCTTTACGAATAAACTATTTATTTAACATAGGTAACATTTATTTTAATTTTTCTTTTCGTGTTATGTACAGTGAAACAGTGTTGTTGCAATGTTCAACTACTAACATTCTAAAATAAATATCAAATAAGTAAGGAATTTTATTATTTAAAATAGAAACGAAATCAGCTTACCTTTTTAAATTGTTGTGATTATGTCGTCAAGCTGCTCTGCTGTGGCGTATACAGCGAATGAAGTTTTATCTAAAGCTAGTTTTGTCTATGGAATCATAATCAGAAAGTTTTATTTGTAAACACAAGCACGGTACCTGTGTTTACAATGATATATGTATAAGGTAGGTACAGGAATGAAATGCTTGCTTAATTTTTGATATCCGGCTGGATGCTTGCTTACTCTCCGGCATCCCGCTGGATAGTAAATTTACTACGAATAGACCGTATACCGTACAGTCGCCGGAGATGATGGCGATACACAAGGACAATACAACTAACTAACGGACAATACAAAATACTGGACTATGATCATATAACTTATATAAGACATTTATAGCTTGAGTAATGTTACAAATTGCCCAATTAAATATGAAAATATATATGCAGTCTATTGATTTGCGGTCGAATTTTGACGACAAGGAAATGTATAGTTTAATTTAAACGTGAGGTGCCCATTGCTACAGTCGTATATTTACCTTATGTAAGTTAAGTTGTGGCACTTAACAAGACTATGCTCTTTACTAGTACATTTTAGTACTATTAAGTAGTATACTATTACTATTAAGTGGCATGCCCCCTAGTATTATCAGGAATGTTCGTAGACACATACATAGTATCTACATAAAAAGATAAACGCTCGTTTTAAACTTACTGAAGGTATAGGGGTAAAATTTACTAGAATTATGTAGGTATGCATCATTATTACTCATAGAAACTAGATAGTTATGTAGCACACCGGGTTTTTTCTACGTTTCGACTCGAGAGTCATTATTTATGAATATATTAATACATTGTGATTTAATATAGCTAACAGCAACAAAGTAATTTAATTGGAAAAAAAAACTCACTAACTCAATTTATTACCGATAAAAAACTAAGAAAATATTTAATATTGATTTTAAGGATGCTGTTGCTGTTGATTTATTATATTTTAATTTTAATTTATATGCCAAAAATTTTATCACAGTCAGAAAAACCTAAATAGATTTCTCTGATCACGGTTCACCTTACACAATCTAAGTTCTTTGTCTCTGCAGACTATTTACTTACACGAATACAGATCAGAATTATAAAATAAGTTCTATAGTAATTATAAATCATTATTTGAAACTTAAAAAAACAAATGTTTTGATTGTAAGGTGACTTTTAATTTGTTTGTGGGTATTATACACGTTATCCTAAAAGAAGAAAAAATCGCGACCATGGAACAGCTGGCCGTTATTATTGTACATTTGTTAGTCATTCGTTGAATCGTTACGAGGTGGATGTTCGTAAGAAGTATCTTACTAACATAGTATTTTGTTCGAAGCGACGATTATTATTTTTGGAAGTGGCGGAAGATCGTGCAGTGACGTCATTGTATTTTGTTTTATTTTAACATTAAAATGAATAAATTAATCGTATTTCTTGTGTTTTTGCAAATAAGTTACGATTTTAGACAAAACCTTAAGGTAAGAATTTATTTATTTTTATTGATTATTAATATTATTATTAATATACTTAGTGTAGTTCTTTATGTGACGTGAATGTAGGTACATGTTTAAGATATCGTTCTCTACACGTATGTCGTTTTAGAAAGAACTGGATAAATTGTGAACCGAATCATCATCATCAGTGCACGCTCGGCCACGCTCAACTTATGCAGTATTTCATTGGTAAAAACCCAGGTTTCAACACCATAGGTAAGCACCGGATGTATCCTACATTGGTCACATTTGTTGTTGTTCGAATTTGAGAATCATTTTGAAGGCAAACTCGAGATTGGAATAGGCTGCTCAGGCTAATCGTATGCGTCTGGTGAGTTAATTCGCCAACTTCTTTTTACCAGCAACTATCTCCTGACCCAAAGAATCAAGCGAATGATCCGTGTTTTAAGGAACAAATATATATATATATATATATATATATATATAATGTAATGTATACAGTATAATGTCCTGTAATTTGAAATTTAATTGGCAGAAAGATAGGACGAAGCGCGGAGTAGATAGGGCTGTACACGACTGAATTCGTATTTTGTACGCTGGCGATTTAACACGGTAAATTTGAAAAAAAAAACAAAATGCTCGGTTAGCGCTGGCAGTATCCAAGATGGCGCAAGGGTGGTGTACGTAGACCAACGGTGACCATTCAACATTTGACTTCTTATTATATTATACTATTATAATATATCTACGCAAGCACAACCATATGGTTTGTTATTGCACACACTCATATAGTTAATCAATTCGTCCTATCCAGCTACGCTGTTACGGCTAAAGCGATAATTATACATCTATAAGACTAGCTGTACCTACCCTGTCCTTCTTCGCTCTAGTAGCACATTGTGGTTGTATAGACGAAAAATGAGAAAAAAAAACTGATGCGAAAGATAGAAAAAAGCAGTCTTTGAATGGGTTTGTATATTGTGTTAAAATTTGAGCTCAGTCTTTGCAAAAGTTATTGAGTTTTTGAAGCGTGCACAAATCAACGCAACATTTTTGTATAGAAGATTAAGAAGAAATTTACGCGATTCAATCATACATAATTTACACTTACAGCCATAACAGTAATACACGACATATTTTATAGCTATATTCAACACTTAAACGAATTCGTACCATCATCATCATCATCAACAGCCTTTACTAGTCCACTGCTGGACATAGGCCTCTCCTTAGAAAGGAGGTTTTGGCCTACTATACCACGCTGGCCAGACGGGTTGGTATAGGAAAAGAGAAGGAAAACTTGAATTCGTACCATTCCTACCTAAATCAAACATAACTATAATACAAACATGTAGGTACAAAAAAAGTCGGACAGAACTGAGGCACCGTAATGGCGGCACCTCTTTGTGTGAGAATGTTCTGGGGTTGCCAAGTTACCCAAATTTATGCCCTAAAACACTATCAATAAAAAAAAAAATTGTTCAAAAATTTATTGTATAATGTCTCAAATGCTGACTTATTTAAATTTATAATAATGTCTTTTACTTTGAGTGGTTTTTGAAATTTCCTCTTATTTCGAAATGTGGTGAAACCGAATCGTTAAATATTTTTTCGCTACGTATTTAATGAGACTTATTTTGTGTTCTATTTTAACGAAAGTATGTTCAGATTCTAAGTTTAAAAATGCTTTCATTGCCAACAAACTTTTCTAGAATTTTAGTGACAGTAGGTATATTTTTATTGTCTTTATTTTCACCATTACAATTCCTAATTATTTGAATTCAATCATTTTCTCATCGCCATTTTCGTTTATTTAGTAAAAGAATATGAAATAGTATACCTAGTAGTAACTTTTAATTAAATAACATTAATAAACTGATTTTAAAAACAAACCAAAATTTGCCTCTGTCCCGGGTAATTTGCACTAGTGATGGAATAATTAGTCTTCACACACATATTTAATTGTGAATTGTTATTTAGCAGTTAGTAAATTAATTGAATTAATACGTACACGTCACACTCTTCATAACTTAAATTGAACTTCATAACATAACTTAAAAAAAAATCTGTTATTAACAGATACTTTTTAGATATCAATTCTATGAACAACTTGAAACAATTGAACAAAACACTACGAGAAAACAAAGTAATTCAAAACAATACCTAATCTCCCGGCCACTTGCTAATGCTAAGTCTTACGACATAGCAAGCATAGCATTAAAAGTATCTGTTAATAAGAAGTTTAATAATAGTGTAGGTATAGGTAATTTAAGTTTTGAAGAGTGTCACGTGTGCGTTGTAAATTGGTATTTTATGAATAGATAGGGATATTTTTTGTATATGGATAGTGTTAAGTGACGAATTGATCAAGGCTAGCATATCGCGAACAAACGCTATATTGTATTACTAGCTGACCCGCGCAACTTCGTCTGCGTCTCTCAATAGTAATGAATTTTCTCCGTTTTTGAAACATTCTTCATTGGTGCTCCGCTCCTATTGGTCTTAGAATGATGACATATAGCCTATAGCCTTCCTATAAATGGGCTATCTAACACTTGAAAGAATTTTTCAAATCGGACCAGTAGTTCCTGAGATTAGCGCGTTCAAACAAACAAAGAAACAAACTCTTCAGCTTTATAATATTAGTATAGATTTCTGTAATAATGTTGAATAAAATAAAAAAGCAGCCACTTCCGATCGCGAAAATCGCGGTGAGTTAAAATATAATAAAAATAAGTTATTTGTTTAAAGTTAATACTTAACACCCTAACTTGTAGGTATATCACATACCTACAAGTTAGGGTCGTTTTTATTTGCTCTCCTCGTACGAATAAGACATAAGACTTCCCAATTAATTAAATTAAATCTGATTACCACTAATGCCCATTACTGATTTTGCACACATGAAAATTGGCAACACTGAGATTATAATGAATACTTTTGTTCTAGGGAATGCTGAATATTTTTAATGTATAAAATCTGGAAATAAGTTTTTTTTCCGGACATCTGGCACACAACGCCATCTAGTTTCAAACTAAGCAGAATGTAAGCTGTACTATGAAAGCTAGAATGACTGATAGAATTCTGATATACTTTTTTTTGTAAATACATACATATTATAATACATAGAAAACACCCCAACTTCGATACAAATGTTTGTGTCTACACAAACATTTGGTTCGACTCGGGAATCGAACCCGAGGCCTCAGCACAGCAGTCGCATAAACTATCACTGCGCCATCGAAGCAGTCAATTGAATTATTCATTTACCTATGAAACGTGATTCCTGAATTATTTGTGTAATTATTTTATCACAGTGTCTGTAATTATTTTATCACAGTGAACTGTGATTTGTCATTCGATTTGTGCATAAGTAGGTTAGGGTTGCTAGGTAGGCGGATTAGACGCTATTTAACAGTAAATCTAGTATTTTTTAATTGTTATGTGGGGAATGATAGCTATACATAATTAAATAATTACTACATTTACTGTTAAATAGGCGAAATAGGGTCTTTTTGCATCGTCTGAAAACAGCTTATTGGCAACAACGGATGAGTAAGTAGTAACCCTAACGTACGTATGAAAAAATCGAATGATAAATTACCGGTCTTTCACAGTTCACTGTGATTTTGTGCCATGCCTAGTGCGTACCGGCCTGCACATACAGCGAGCTGGCCACGAGTGACACAGTTTGTTGTTGTTGTTTTGTTTCTGTTAGCGAGAATGTCTAAACTCCTTTATACGTCCATGAGTAAAAAGTTAGTTTTAAAGGATTCCAAAACAAATACACAACGCTTTTGTTCAAACCGAACCAATGTCAACAAATCATCCCGATAAAAAACTTTCATATGATTTTTCTATTTAGAGATAAAAGTCTTACATGAATGTATGTGTTATGTCATCATAACTAATACGGCGTAATATACCTACTTGTCGCAAAACCGTCGAGTGATACGCTCGTGGAGTGTGGATTGTTTTATCGATAACAAATCGTCACCTATCTTTTTGAACCTTCTACATTTTCTTTTTGTCATTATACGTAGGTAGATAAATATGCAATGAAATGCTGTAGTAATATATATACTTCGAAAACACACACCAATAAAAGTGATCACTTATAACAAAATGGTAAGAAATATAACCCTATTTAAGTATTACGAAATGTACTTTCCGCTTTCTCCAATTATTTGTTTACCGTGTTATTGTTTTAAAACATAAGCTGCATAATTCATGCTAGCTAACTAAACTTTAAATAATACTAGTTTTAAAAATATTGTGTCTATAGGTTCGTACCTACTAGTAACATGTTGTTTACTCATCCATTACATCTAATTACATTATTCTTAATTCTTAGAGCATTGACATTACTGTGTGCATTTAGGAAGTGAGCTACTAAGATTATGTTTAGTTGTTATTCGGGTAATAATAAAACAAAAGTTATGATATCCTCGCATCCAAACCAGTTTTCGAATCATGGTACTCACGCTTGCCATAATAATAATTTTTTGACTAATTATTTCAGTCGAAACGTGTTTGTGTTATTGGAGCTGGAATAGCGGGCATATCCTCGGCAAGATATTTGAAAGAAGAAGGAATTAACTTCACAGTTTTTGAAGCAACTCGATATCTAGGAGGTACTTGGCGATATGACCCTCGTGTAGGCATTGACGAAAATGGTTTACCCATACATACGAGCATGTATAAACGCTTAAGGTATGTTAAAAAATTAACTCAGTAGGCTCCAAAAAAACAACTTACTATTACTACAATTATTATTAATACACGGCATTTTAATGTTAACATTTTGAAGGATGAGTAAATAATCGTTGGTTTTAATAAAAGTTGGTTTAAGAAATGTAACGAAAATACAAACCTCCAACTTAATTGTTAAGTATTTTATAATACATTTAAAAACTAAAGATTTTATCTTAAGTAAATGAATATACTTGTTATCAGTAGTAAAACTCATACATCTATTTATTTTTCATACATCAATTTATTTTCTAATGTATTCTGACATAGATATTAAGTTCATTTTTGGTTAATATTGTGATACTTTCAATAACACTAACTTAAATAACTAAAACTAGGTAAATGAATACGTATTATTATACAATATACTATTATACTGGAAGCGACTTTCATAAAAACTTGCATTATGCATAACTATTTGGAACGTCACAAAACAAAAATATCGGAGACGCGTTTATAAAGACGGTTTTATTGAAAAATAAATGAATAGTCTGTTATAGAAGAATAAATATTGAAGGCAACTATTTTTAGTTTCATTAAATATATTATTTATTAAAATAGTTAGTAATCATAGTAAATTTACAAAAGAATACCATTCAAAATGTCCTTTACACTGTTAATAAGTAGGTTTCGACTTAATTCATGGTTAAGTACATAGATGGCGTTATTATAAAATTTTGATGTCAATGTAAATAATCAAATAACTTAAGCTAAACAAATGATAATAAAAAATTAAAGTAAATCTTAATTTGACTTTATGTGTCTCGATATATCGTCTTTTTATAAATATTTATTTATTACCTATTATTACAGATAAACCAATACAATAATGCAATAGGTACTTACAATAAAAATAAATTTAATTTAATCTGTGACAAATACACAACACAGTAAAATTAACAACTAGAGCTAGTCACTACGCAATAGGCAATGGCCCTTGTGAACTCATTAAGTAAACACGAAAAAACGTCAACATGATCCGACAGTATCCGTCAACATGTACATATATTATGTATATACAAAATATGGATACTTTACGGATACGGTTTTACTTATACAACAATTATATTTTCTGAAAGACGACAAAAATGATCCTTGTACTTATCGAACATCACTAACTATTTTTTAATATGTAAATGTTAATTTATCTAACATAGTAGCTATCCATTAAAGAGTTTTCCGTCTATCTATCTAGGACCATTGAGTTAAAACATCTAGGACAGTCACAGACAAAGATTTACCTACCTAATGAGTACGAAAGACACAGTAATGAGTACCTACGTATTTGATAGGTCTGCTACCTATTAATATTAGTCAGTGGAGGCGGATTTTCGGTATCATAGATAACTCCTGGAATCTATTTATAGGCTTCCAAATAGGTAAATATTTGTTCTCAAAGTAAACATAATGAGACGGTTTTGGGCCCGACCAAAACGGTAACCGCAGTTAAAATAGGGTTTAAAATGAAGTAGTAATGGATGCTCTAAAAGACTAAAACGTCACGAATTAGTATTTAGAATTAAGGTCATTTTTAACTGTTGTTAATACATTTTCTATACGTAAATCGTATATCATTACTATATTTTTAAACGTTTGAATCAATCCTTTGAACTAAAGTTAACCAAGTTATAATGCACTTATAGGACCAATCTTCCAAAACCGACTATGGAGCTCGGAGGGTACCCGCTTTCAGATTCTTTACCGTCGTTTCCATCTTGGGAAGATTATTACCAATACCTACTGGATTATGCAAAACACTACGACATCGAAAAATATATAAAGGTATGGTGTTTATTAGTCCACCAAAAAACTCCATTACGAACTAAATTTACCCTATTATTTAAAAAAATGTATTAAAGCACAACTATTAAACACTCCATTGATTTTACGACAATATGAGCGACATGATTAAACTAATACTTATTATGCAACCTGGTGCTGTGTTAGTAATAAGCTTAAGAACAGATAGATTTTTAAACAAAAAATTAACAGTTAGGAAGTAGAAAGGCCAGAGATCGGTAACCTAATTACAACTAAGTATCTTTTTTTAATGTTCACAGTTCCTCCACAAGGTGATATTAGTGAGAAGAAAAGATGATACGTGGAAAGTAAAATATGAAAATGTAATAACAAAAGAAGTGTTTGAAGAAGAATTTGATTTTGTTATAGTCGGTAACGGACATTTTAGTAAACCTAGAATGCCGAAAATTCCTGGAGAAAATCTGTTCAAAGGTGATTTAATGCATGATGTTATTTTAGACGTCTGGAACAATAATAATTTGATTATTGATATGATATCAACAAGAACGTTCTATCAATTAATGGAAACACTGTAAATGTCTGTTTTTTCTAAAGGTACGATAATCCACAGCCACGACTTTAGAGTAACGGATCCTTATAGAGACCGTCGTGTCTTGGTAGTGGGTGCTGGACCCTCGGGGATGGACATTGGGTTGCACGTGGGCGACGTTAGCAAGACGTTAATACACAGCCAGCATTCCAAAGTTAAATTTCGAACGCCTTTCCCACCACACTACATAGAAAAACCTGATATAAAGGAGTTCAATGAGACGGGTGCCATATTTGTTGATGGGACTTTTGAACAAGTAGATGATGTTATTTATTGTACGGGTAAGTTTTGTGTAATTATCATATTGTTGTCTCCAGAGGCATAAGAAAGAAAAATGTAAGAGAACGCGTGAGAGTGTGTTAGAATATTTATTTTATCTGTGATCAACGTTGTTGGTTTTATAATTGCTCACTATTGTTATAATTCATAGACTTATCATTATTATGCAACTGCTTGTTGAGCCTTTACAAAAAGGAAAAGATTTTACATGTCTGTCTGCCTGTTGCCAGGTTTCGAATACGACTACGGGTTCTTAGACGAATCCTGCGGTTTGACAATAAAAACTGATGTCTTGTATCCTTTACACCAATACATGGTAAACATCAGGCAACCCACAATGATCATCATGGGACTAGTTGTTAGAGCGTGTCTAGTAATCGCTTTGGATGCACAGGTAAAGATTGAACGTTAATGTAATAGTGTTTTGATCAAAAGTAACTGCTAAAAATAACAGTTTTACCCCTTTATGGCCCGTTGGTCTAATTCTAGTGGTTAGTGGTCCTGAGTGCTAAACTAGAAGTCGTGGGTAGGTACTTTTCCCACCCAGGAGGAATAGATGTGTGATGAGCACAACTAGTTGTTCTCTGTAAGGATGTTATTTACCTTTAATATATTATAGTATTATTATTTGAAAATATATAAATCTAGATATCTGTGGACTAGTCACCATACTACCTGGTTTCTGCCTATTCTTTGCCTAGTTTGTTATTATTATTATTTCCTCATGGGGCCTATACAAATTGCTGATACTTTTACTTTAACGTGTAAAACCAGAATATGACTTTCATAAAAAGGGTATGAAACAATTCTTGTAGTCTTTTTTTGCTACTATTTGTCTCTTTATTAGAATATGATAGAAGAATACAACTCTCATTATGCATTCCTCGTAATTAATAACAGAAATTTAAAAGAGTCATATAATTCTCTGGCCATACATTACAGGCTCGCTACTCAACGGCGCTAGTTAAAGGTGACTTTAAGCTACCTTCTGAGGCAGAGATGATGCAAATATGGGAAAAACGAATGGAAGAAATCTCTGCTAAAAATTTGCGGCCATCTTTCATACATGTATTGGCGGCAAAAGAGGTACACCCAATCACTACTTATTTTTTTTACAAAAATCACCATAATTTTCGGGCGATTTAAACGCGGCCATTTTGACGAGCTTATTCTGTGGCGTCAGATTACAAAGAGTTGGATGTCAACACCGATGTGTTATGTTTACAAAGTTACTGAAAGTTAAAAAAGTGAGTGATAAAATCAACTTATTGCCAAGGAAGAGCACTAAAAAAAATATTAGAAATATTGTGTCTTTCCTACGTGCTAAAATAACATCAAAACGTAACCTTACGAAAAGTTCGTAAAGATTTATTTAGTTATTAGTTTTATTATTTAACAATACATTTCATGACTATGTTGACAATTATTTAAGTATGTTGTGTACAATAAGCCACAAAACATGTTCGGCTAGTACTTAAAATAATTATATTCTCAATATCTAATACATATATAGCCTATGAATGAACACATAATACCAACCTAGCTTATTAGAGCAAGGGGAAGTCCTAATCTATTTTTATTTACCTTTCTAATTTTATTTCTGGATTTCAGATTGAAAAGAATTATATGTAATAAACAATTTATGATCATTATAAACACGCCTAGGTATTTTAAATTCATCTGATTGTGCTTTGACTCTGCGGTTTCAGTCATTGTGTTAAGTCTTTATTCACAAGGATTTAATACTTTAACACAAAAAACCAATAACGTAATATGAAGTAACCGCAAAATAACAATCTTTAATAATAATAGACTTTACTTTAAACGGACACAAAGGACACCCAGACTTAGAACAACAATTTGTGAATCATACAGTGTTGTCCGAGCAGCGAGGTGACCGCTTAAACCACTACGCCTCCCGTGCAGTCAAGTTAGATTATATAGTTAGATCTGCGATCATGGTTACTGCTCCTCTCCTGTGATGTATAATCTATACTTTCAAATATTAGTATATTTAAACCAGCAATTAAATAAAAAACTTCAGATTCATTATACCCATTGGTATAGATGTACATATAACATATGTTCTTGTTCTGTGCCAATTGGAGTGTATGGAGTGTACCCCAATTGGAACAGATCTAAAACGGTGGATTTAAAATAAAAAATGCATAGCTTATGCGTCATCCATACAAATATTAGTATTGTCCGTGTAGTGACGGATCAAGAATAAGGAATGTCACTACCCCAATTCATCCCGTGGGTGTCGTAAGAGCCGACTAAGGACGCAAAACAACGCAGGACACCAGCATTGCAATAAGAAGGAAAACTTGATACAAACCCTATACCAACCCGTCTGGCCAGCGTGGTATAGTAGGCCGAAACCTCCTTTCTAAGGATAGGGCCTTGTCCAGCAGTGGCCTATTACAGGCTGTTGATGTGTGATGTATCGAATGCGAAAGTGTATCTGTCTGTTTGTCTATCTGTTACGTCTTCACGCTTAAACCGCTGAACCGATTGAGATGAAATGGTGGACATACTTTGATTCTTGAGGAACGACATAGGCTACTTTTTAGCGCGATAACCGACATTTACGCGGGCGGAGCCGCGGGCAACAGCTAGTAGCTAATTAATATTATTTTTATTGCAGGACGAGTACTACGAAGGCCTGTCTATCGAGTCTGGTATAGAAAGAGTACCTCCGGTCATGTACAAGATTCGTGCCATGGACACAGAAGCAAAATTGGAGAACCTTTACACCTTTAGAGATTACGAGTACATCATTATCGACGACCACAACTTCACAAGAAGAAAAGAACAAAGAACATTCAATCAGAGTACATTAGTGTCATAGGTTCTTGCGATCGTCATGTAATATTTATTTTTAATTTTGTTTTAAAAATGTTGACATGAAAACTTATATGTTTTGTTGGCCTGCTGATTCACAGAAACTCCTTTACAAATAATACTAGTCACACAAAGCATTTAATATTTGTATTTTTAAGTTAAAAGATAATACAAATTAAAAAATACAATAAGAAACGTTTATTAGTGAAATAAGAATCTAATGGCATGATATTAATGTTTTACTTTACTTTAATGCAACTGAGGTTAGAATACATTGCTTAATATCTTCATGAAAATATATTTTGATGAATTTGAAATATTAGTTATGTAATACGAGATAAAGGATTAGTAGCAGTTACGTATTTGGGTTAGCTTTTACTAAAGGGGCCTGAAGTGTATTTTGCTGTAAGTTGATGTCGTCACAATATAATCTGCGATTCACGCTTTTTGTAGCTCCGCATACGTTGTGTCCTTGCTGCATTTGGCTGAGTGGACGTATTTGGATACTATTAATATTTTATAGCACAAATACGTCACATTCTCAGTGCTACCAAAATTGTTTAAGCATTTCCTTATATCTTTTATTTTCATTTCAGGAGATGATGTAGTCTAAGGTTAGCTAAACCTTAGTTAACCATCATCTAACTAACAAAGTACATAAATACAAATAATAATTTAAGTTATTTCTTGTAAAATAGGTACTATTCATTGTAAAAATAACACATTGCGGTTGAAATATGAGGATCATAGAATTCGCCTGTTATAGGTAAGACATTCATTGCGGCCACAAAAAACAAGTTTTTTAAAATTAATTCTTTATTGTTATTTTATACCATAATGTATCCTGTAAATAAAAAAAAAAAAATGTTACTTAAGATTGCCTTACGAGATGTTCGTACAAATTGAGCATACTCCTTTCACTTACATTGAATCGCGTCCATAAATGAGGAACGGTTAAGTGAAGTACACAAATATGGGTGTGTTCGGGGAATTTTTAACCAACTTTAAAAAAGGGCGGCAGCTTTCAAATCGGTTGTATTTTCATTTTTGTTTTCTCAGACCGTCATTTGGTAACCGATTTCGAGAATTCTTTTTTTATTTAAAAAAATCGGAGAAAAAATACTGGATGAAGAGTATAGTTAATTATATTTCATCATAATGTAGGTCCATTAAAGACCGTTATGTGATTTTAAAAGTTTGTTATCTTAAATCTTCTTAAGTAGTTGAGGACTGGTAAAATTCTTTCCTAAAACCAATTGTATTTACATGGTCAAATGGTCATCTTGTAGCCACAATCGATAAGTATTACTATGATGGATAACTTGCTACACTTTAAAACAAATATTAACACCACATTTATATCTAATACTTGTTGAAAATTGAACCAAAAGTTTGCTCACGTAATGCTTGATCATTCCTATACTTATAAATACTAATTAACAGCACATTTAATGTTTATTTGTATTTATGTAACTAGTACTTACACAATCGACAGTTAGTGGCAAACAAATAAACAAATACTGCATAATCTCAATTTATTTTTAATCATTCGCATTCTTTTATTTAGTCGACTAATTCAATTAGTCGCTACAGATCCATTAAGTCCATATATAACTAACATTTTACGAATAGATAAACATGACAAAAAAAGCTAAATAAAATAATAATTAAATGTACATTTTATGCAGTAGGTAAACAACGTGTATAAAACTCTAGAATATTATAATAAAATGAAATACAATGATTAAATAATACATTACATTATAAACTAAAAATGATGTTCGCCTGTGTGTTCGTTAGTGTGCTTAGGTAATGCCAAAATTTTTCATAATGAATTTTATGATTTTAGGCTAAATATCTCTTTAGCGGCATATGTTATTATATGTTAAGTATTACAGTTAATTACTGTTAGTAATTTTCGTCATAAATGTAATTAATTCCATCGTAATTGTTTTTTAAACATCACACAGGTTTAATACATACAAGCTTTAAACATTTTCTCATTTTATTTACAGTTTGATTAAGTCACGACAGCGTGGCGGCAATCTGTCTTTGAATAAGTATTTATTTAAATACTCAGTAACTTTCTTACTCAGAGTATTCAATACTTTTTATTCTTTAATAATAAGTTTTAAAGAAACTGAGAAAGAGATATAAACTATGCTTTCTATAACGTACGAGTATTACAAGGTGTTGTCATATTTTTAGAATTTCTGGATCATTAGTAGTCGAATTAGTCAAAAAACCAAAAGGACAAAAAATAAGAAAAATCAAAAGGTGATTTTAATAGTGTAGATGTATCCACAAAAGAACCTTATAGACCGTGTTATAATTTTAATGTTTTCTTTTATGTGGCCATGTGGCGTGGTTTAAGTATGTTATATTTAACAAAAAAAATCTTCAGGAACATTCTTAAAATTCTTAGTCTTTTACGTCACTCACTGGGTATATAATATTATAACAATAAAATATGAACACACTTTGTAGAAGCACATTTTAGATTCAAATAGATGAATCGATTGCAGTTGTCATTTTATTTTGACTTGGCATAACGAGAGTAGCAATAGAATACTTTTTCAAATATTGTACTCAATATAAAATAATATAATAAAATAAAAACTTAAACGAATGGTACTACATATATATTAGAGATATTACGGTTTTCTGGTAAGGTTATTTCGGGTTAGCCCGACCCTCCGGCCACATTGGAAACTAATTTATAATTTGAAACCAGTTTCCAATAAATAAAAATAATTGTGTTTCCGAAACTGGTTACGAACTGAGAAGGTTGGATCTTCTTCCGAAACGCTTCCAATATTATAGTAAACATTACAGTAAAATATAGTAAACATATAGTTGTTAAAAAATGTATGTACCTCTGTGTGTAGTTATAATATAAGTAACTGAAATTTCAAAATTGAGTATGATGACATACACATTTTCTTAAAAATTCAATGAAATTGGCGAAATTATTTCAATACAGTGTTCTGCTGTTTATAAGTATTTAGAAAATTTCAACAGAAGATCTAACATTTTGTGTTGGCAACCAGGTTCGAAAATATAATATTTTTCTTTACTGGAAACCAGGTTTCGATATAAGAGAAATAATTCGGTTTCATATTATTTGTTTCCAATGTGGCGGAAAGGAAGCCCGACTAGCTTCGGACTTCAGGTTTCGTACTATCGTGAGTAAAACCTTACATATTTAATAAATATAAAATACTTCTGTAGGATAATGAAACAACATCTCCTTGTTAATGTCTATAACAGTACATTTCTTTATATAACTACATTACACACTGGTTCTCTGGGATTGTATTTTCTTTCAAATTCAGTATCGCTGATAATATTGTAGTCGTAATCACGGTAATTAAGAAGATCGTCCAACCGATTCTGTTGATTGAAATCTCTGATTGTGGTTATAACGGGAGGTACAAAAGGAATGAACGCTTCTTTGTGTAGATCCTCAAAGTACTTGCCCTGAAAAGAATACAGTAAAATATTACTATTTTATGTTCGTCAGAATATAAAAAGTAGTAAAAAAATTACATAAGTGTCATATAAGTATATTGTCATATAAAGTCATGCCATGTCATGTTCGGATTGGAAAAAATGAGATCATGACGACCTCGCTGGTATCTTTTATTCAGTCTCTAAGTACTACCTACTTATTGCACCTATAGTAGGTGCAATAAGTAGATAGTGTTTCGAAATGGAACTATATGTTTATGTAGCTTCTACGAGGATAGTAAAATTGGACATCTTAGAGCTGATTTAATTATGGTACCGGTAGGTTGGTACTTCAATACTAGAATACTTGTACAAATCTCGAGTGTCTTCACATGCATTCAGCAAGGTTTAGAAAAGATGGGCTGTTACTCTCTTATTTGCTTTATCACCTCATGTCTGTTTTTACTATCATATAAATACTTTGTTCTCCGGTTATTTGTTGTATATGTCGTGGCCAGATCATAGAATTTGTCTCTTCATAATGTGTCTAACTATATTATGAAATGGTCGTTCACGTGATGATATGGTTTGTGAAGATCAATGAAATCAGATTTCCCAGCCGTTTCGTGAAGCTGTGTGTTTACACAGCTTCACAAAATGGCCAAACATTAGTAAAATACTCGTAGTTATATTTTTATCTACTGTTATCGCCGCTGATATCGTTTTATATATATGTATATATACTTATCAATCAAAATTGAGCTTTAAACGTTATGGTCTAGTTGGTTATATGTATATGTATATCATGAAGTAGACAATTCTAAAATTTGGCTACTATAGATGTATGCAACGCACTGTCCTTTATACAACGCACTGTCCTTACACTGTCCAGTACATTATACAACGCACTGTCCTTAGAGCACTGCCAACAGGTTTCTGTCAAGAGGAAATCAGCGACGCTCAATTTGTTGGCGTATATTTGTCATGATCGAGATAATGTAGAAATTTCCACTATGACATAAGACTTACCATATCCTGGACAACATTGACATCAGTGATGTAATTCCTCTTTTTAAGTGTCTGCACGTGATCTAACCATATACGTAACATTTCTGCTTGAGGCGGCAATTTAAACTTGTCCGCCGCCAGCGCAGCAACATACTGCGCCTGTACAACAATAATACCATTACATTAAACTATAAACGTAATAAAAATATAATAATAATAATAATAATAACAGACATCTCAAACACGGCCGTCGGCCGCTAGACAAATATGTATAGTATCTATGTAAGACATATTTCCTGGATAGTATAGTAGTAGTAGTATAGACAAGTATTTATGTGGATTAGCTTTTACCTAACTCGATCATATAAAGAGTTAAAATGTTTGCAGATTCAAGTATATAATAATCCACGAGTATGTTAACTTTACAAACTAAAAAAAAATGAAATGAAAAGCATTGCAAAGTATTTAGATTTATTTCGACAGGTTTAATAACTTCATTGGTTCAAGTACGGCCGTTAAGCAACTATTTCCAAAGCAGCTGCTATTAAAATTATTTGAAACATTAGAAAGCTACTTTAAATCAAGAAACAGGACTATTAGTTAAATTAACTTCGATATAAGGTATAGGCACAATACCATATACTATAAGATAATGTTGCCAATGTAGTAATATAGAAAGAAAAGTACAATAAATTAGTTGTGTAAATGGGTCCTTCTGTTATTGTTAAGGGAATTTGCAGTTCTATGTTATTTAACTTTTTGCTTCAATTAAATTGGACAAGAATGAAGTTTTTTTTTCATTCCTAAGCGTGTGTACACTTTCTTAGTTACTAATTGTTAAAAAGCTAATTAAGTACAGAACAACAATATATTACAATTCATGGTCACACGCATTGTTTGAGACAGTAGTAGATTAATATTCTTTTTAACGGTATGGCTCATAACGAAATTAATTGAAGTTTTTTAAGGTTTTGTTTTATTCTACCTCCCAGCTAAGTGCTTATCTTCAACAAAATGTAGAAAAAAAAACTTAATATAGCCAGATACCAAAAATTAGAAAAACAGATAAATGATTATTTCTCAACAAACCTGAATTTCCAATACTTTATTGACGACTTTTTTGGGAAGCCCCACAAACGCCATGGATGGTCGCTTAATATTCACAATATGTTGGTACAGCGGCAAGACATAGGCCGTAGTCGCTGTTATACCTGAGGTCAGCTGATCCAGATAAGGATGACTGTAGTGATAACCTGGATTTAAAAAAAAAATGACATTATATCTATATGAGACATTTTATTTATAATCGCATTTGAATAAAAGTATACACAAACACCATGCAGTCACGATTTTCATATTTACATCATGAAAATTATTCGTTACTAGTTTTTCCCGCGGCTCTGCCCGCGTGTATGCTGGTTATCACGGTAAAAAGTTGCCTATTTTACTCACTAATTATGTAGCTTTCCATTGGTAAAAAGTTTTTAAAATCGGTTTAGTGGTTTAGGCGTGAAAGTGTAAGAAACAAACTCATTTTCTCATTTATAAGATAAATATGGATGTATGGATTGGTACATTATTCTGGTATTCCTGGATAATGGACTGATTGTTATGATTGTCATTCCAAGTGGCATTGCGAAGTAAGTACAAATAGATTTCAACAATTAAAGTGCTTTTATCAAGAGTATTTTAGAAGGGTGATGATGAACAATCAGCATTCCTAACGTAAATTTAGTAGTGACTAAAGGTGAAAAATGAAAATATGAAAATTGTAGGTTAAATTTTTTTTTTGACTAATCAACTATGGACGATGTCCTAAGACATCATCCATAGTACAGCCTCTGCCTAGTCTGGGATCAGACGGCTCTATGTGAAATGTATGAAGTGTGTGAAAAATGATTAAGGATATTTTGTAATTTCTGTTACACTTTCTGGGTAACACAATACCTATTTACAGAAGGTCACGCCTTGTACAATATAGCTTTTTTTAACGTTCTTAAACAAAATAATTCAATACTTGGTCAAGTTTATGAAGTGAAATAGCAACTTCAAAGGGGAAACTGTTCTTACACTTAAACGTGAATTTCTATACGGATAGCCAGTTACTGTTTTATATACTTTTAGAATTAGAATAAACACAGCTGACCTACTTGACGTTTCAGATTGAAGAAGAGCTAAAATATTAAAAGGGGTTAGAATAAATACCTGTACAAAATATTACTACATCGAATTCTTCGAAACTATTGTCTTCAAACACTGCTCCGTTCGGAGTGAAGTATTGCAAGTCCGGTTTCTTTACATAGGTGCCTGGGAATTTTGGCTGATTATAGGTAAGATGATGACTGTGTACTAGTTTGGAGGTTGTATTGGAGAGTTGTACGGCCAGGTCGAGCCCTGATGCCCCTGCGCCCACCAGCATAACCCGTTGACCACGATAATCTTCAGGATCCTTATAATCGTGACTGTGTAATATTTTACCTATAAAGAAATACAAGTTAATATAAGTTAGACTGTTGATTAAAGTTTTACTTCCATAATTAATACCTACTTACAATTTATTTATTTATATATATTTACAAACACAAGATGACGACCCATGTGCAATCTTGAGAATGTAGTCATGTTATTGGAAAAGGCAATCTTTACCAATCAAACTAGGGCAATGCAGGATATAAAACAAGTACAATTAATGACTAAGAAAACATTGATTAATATAAAACAGACAGACAAACTGAACACAATTGTAAGACATTTGTAAATAAAGTAGTCATCAAAATACAAAAGAAAGCCATGTATTTATAATAAATATAAATACATGGATATATATTTATATTGTTTATGAATACTTTACTTATAAATATGTTGACGTCAGCATATTTATAAGTAAATCATAAAAATCAGTGAATTCTTTTAATAATTTTTATAAAATTTATTATAACAAAAATAAATAAATCATTTCCTCAAAAAATGTAATATATTTTCAACTACCGATATTTATACCGATGCCAATGGCCAGTCGATGGCATCTCAATAGCGTGTTAGTGGTATGACAGTGGCTTTGCGTAAACACAAAATAGCAGAATTGAGGCCATGCGTGGATGTCATGTTCACTTTACGTGTCGAGTTTAACCCTTTCACGAAATCATCATCATCATCAACAGGCGTTTACAGCCCCCTGCTGGACATGGGCCTCTTCTTAGAAAGGAGGTTATGGCCTACTACTACTTTCAAGAAATATTTATAGATATTACATAAAATAGTCGGTCACATCGTAATATAGTCTGGCAAGATCAATAAATAATTAGCCTTTGACGATATGATTAATCAAATGTTGGACTATTTCATTATATGGTCAAACATTGGCAAACACATATCAACAGTGTATAACATATCATGAAACAGTAGTAATATTATCCACAGTTACAGCTTCTGATATCGTTTTGTTTTGTGATGCACCATGGCGATGAACAAATTTTGTTTTACAATTTATAATTATTGCAAAAAACCCGTCTGCGTAAAATTGGTATACTTAAAATTTGTAAGCTAAGTAATATATATAAATACATTGTTTTATTTTTTAAAACATATCAAATAAACATTGATCAATATAATTATTTATCAATAAATCAAAAGTAAAATAAATATCAATAATTCAGAATTCAGATCATCAAACCATTTTATCGATCAACGTCCCAACCCTGTCCCATCACTATGTTTCGGTGCATTCTAAGTTTGACCTTAAAATATACAATCGGTCTTTTTGCAGACGGTTTTTTTTTAATTATTACTAGTTTAACTTTTTTACTAAAAAAACACAACTCCCCGCTCCTCAATTACGTTACGCCATAAAAGCGGCATTTATACACACTGACATCACAGACCTATTATTTATCTGTGGATAACAAGCACCAGACAGACCATAATAGGTAGTTAGTCTGGCACTGGCAAGTTAGAAAGAAACAAATGAAGTTCGGCAATAAAGTTGATTATAACAAAAAATGATGCTACATGTAAATTTCCCTCCACATTTCCTACATATTTGCCTTATTATTTTCTTTCTAATGCTAAAAAAATATAGTGTCAAGCTGATTTTTTTTAGTATCTTTCTATTTATTAACTTTTTATTTAGTATCAAATATGATAAATCTTTTGTTGAACTAAAAATGTCATAAAAATGCGTTCTGCTCATTAAAAGTTTGGTTAAGCGGTTTGCTAATGCTAAAAAATCCTTTTATTACACCCTGAAGCAAGATTGTTCCGAAAATAAAAGAAGTACCTATTTGAAGATCGTCTTCAAGTAAGTGAAATGTATTACCCAATTTATAAAGAGGTGCGTAAATTCGTACGGAAATATTACAATTTTATAATCCAAACTTAAATCAAGAACTACAATAATTCAATTACGTTACCGCAACGAGATTCTTAAAATCTTCCCACGACTTAACACTATTTATACAGAGTGGTTATATGTAGCTGCTACAATTAGGAATTCTATATGCTTTTTCATTTGTGTACCTTTGAAGTCATTCATTTTTTCGACCTCAGGTATGAAGGGCTTGCTATACTCTCCGCTGGCAACGACTACGAAAGAGCAAAACTCTGTCACGTTCTCTTTCGTATCGCTCTTCATAAAGGTAACGTTCCATCCATCTCCTGACCACTGCACCTTGGTTACAAAGCTTTCCAACTGAAATAAAAGACAGGTCAGTGTTACAGCCTATAATATTAAGTTTTCTTTTGACCAGTTAAATGCTGTTTCAGTATACCTTTTATTGTCTCTTCTATCTATTAAAGGTTTTTGGGATTTAGAAAAAGTGTTTGGTGTAATTTTATAGAAAACATATAAAACACGAAATCCGGTTAGATATTCAAAGCTTGTGCAAAAACAATGTATGCATATTATCTCAATCTAACTCACATAACTCTCATTTTCTGTAAATAACATTTATTTATAAAATAATAATTATCTTTCTTATTGTATGAATCATGCATGATAATATAAACATGTTCATTTTTTACTTATGTTTATTGTGTTATACAATAAAGTTTGAAGATTATTTTCCATTACATTTGATTGTTTCGTGGGAAAGCTATGCTTCGGCATAAATGGAGTCCCGTGGTGAGTCGACCGGAGTGATTTAATTTAATTTAATAGTTAAGTTCTTCACAGCTTACAATATCTAGTTTACATAGTATGAGTCGAACAATACGCCAATTACGAAGTACACAATTAATTAAAGGTAAATACATAGCAAGAGTAAACATTCTATATGAATATTCCTAATATGGTTCATGTTAAGTATAGCTACACAGATAGTAAGAATGTGGAGTGGTGTGTGTGAGTGAATGTGAATGGTGTTTGTATCGCGTGGTTGTTAACTTCATAGTGTGATGGTATGTTATAGAAGTGATACCACCGCCTCGCAGAAAATCTGTGTTAAGTAATTCTTTCTTTTCTTTTCTTTTCTTTTCATCGAGTAAGTACGGTTGAGGCGGCGGTAGTTACGAAATATCAGAAGGCCAATTCTCGTAATAAAAGTTCGGTCTCAATTCAGTTCCGATCAACTTTCGATCTCATAACTGTCAGAAAAGGTATTTTCGTAGTAAAGTATTAAACATCCAACGTTGACTAATGTGATCATATCGTATTGTAATCAAAAATTGATTCCATAATCTGCTAGTCTTAGTATTACTTTACTATTTTACTAAGAAAATATCTGTTTTGTTTGACGGTCGTCTCCAAATATAGTAAAATTTTGATGAGTTGTAACCTAATTGATAGATTTGCATAATTATTTATCTGTTACGCGAAGCTACAAGTATGTTGTTTTCAAAATTGTAGGTATTCATTATTACTTAATTCTATTATAGTTTGTCTTCAAAACAGTTGTGTTGTGTGCTCGTCACACAATACGCAAACCAAAAGGTACTTTTCAGGACCACAAACAAATTCATATCTAGGAATAATATAGGTTTAATATAGCTATAGTAACTCATTCGGGTAATAATATTATATATATTTTCATCATAAAAATTTCATCTGTTTCATATTAATTCACATTGTTCTTTATGTTTATTTACGTAGGTTAATCTTTAGTGAAGGAATTTCATTACGGTAAGTAAGTTTATAATATCAAGTTTTATTATGTTTAGGGCTTAGCACCGCCGATTGGGACTTCGCCCAGCACACGCTGGAAGACTGCCTCGCGTGGGCGTCTGAACGCAAAGTCCTGGTCGACCAAATCGGACTAGACCTGTCCCCGCCACCAATTATTGCTGCCACGCTGGCGGGTGAGGAGGACTGGGTCGCGGTGATCTCTTTCTGTGAAACTGTAATGCTCCAGAAAGTGACAGCTGAACGGGATCGGGAGAGGGCCGATCCTGAGCGTAGAGGACGTCAGCGGCGTTATCAGCCGTCGACGGGGGATTAGGCTGCCAGAGAGTGGGGACCTCTGGTGGCAGATTAACTGCTGCGGTAGGCGATAGGATGGCGACCTGGTCGCAAAAATGCGATCGGGCCTCAACATATCATAAGGATTGGCCGATAGGCGGGGGAAGCCCGTGGCTTCCCCGGGATAGGGCTTCTCCCAAACATGGCGTCAATCTGGGGGGATCTGAAATAACATGGTCCGGGTCCTCCTCGGAGTGGGACGCCTGAGTCCGGCCGTCGGGGTGGTTTTTAGTGGAAACACCACATACTCCTGGCTCCTACATCCTGCGTCCCCGCGGTGCCGGACTTCCGAAGAATTTTCCACCACGTCAACAAAAAAAAACTTGGCTTGGCACCGACTTCAAACCTATCAATACACACATACAAATAAGTTTGTTTATGACGGTGCTTAGCTCTGTTCTCTGCCACCAGACAACAGCACCGTAAGTGATTATTGGTCTTATGACTGTTCTGTAAAGCCATAGAGTAATCTTGGGTGATAGTCCCCAGCTTTTGGCGAATAGCCGTTTGCATTGACAGAAGATAATGCAGGCTTTGTTCAGTTTTTCATCGAGGTGCTTATTCCACAGGAGTTTACTGTCCAGTATTACTCCTAGGTATTTGACCTCTTTGGTAAGAGCAAGTTGCGTTCCAAATAACTTGGGCAGTCTGAGGTTTCCTAGACTGCGTTTGTTTGTGAACATGATCATCTCTGTTTTCGATGGGTTCACTGTCAGGTTGTGTGTTACCACTGTTCAACGATCTTCAGTGCAAGTCTCATTTGATCGCATGTAACGCTCTCAAAGGGACCACTGATTATGATAGTCAGATCGTCTGCATAGTCTATTGTGAGGAATTTTCGGTCATTGAGTTGTGCGATGTTCTACAACAATGTTCCATCGAAGGGGGGAGAGTACACCGCCCTGGGGGCATCCTTTAGTAGCGTCGCTCACAATAAATTGAATGGCTCCATATCTTTGCATGCTGATGATTTACCCTGAGATTGTGGAATCAACACAATGTCTAGACAGAGCTTGGCTAATGCTGGTGAAATTGGTTTTGTCAAAGGCTCCCTCGATATCGATAAAGGTGGCCAGTGTTGATCTTTTGTGACCGTAAGCTAAAAATGCCACATTTACTAAATTTTATCACCAACGTAAACAAAAATTTTCATAAAAAATGTTTATAAATGAAAACTACTGGGCCAAACTATGTTAATTTTTTATGGTCCAAATGACAACTATTCCGCATAAAACTAAAGAAGAATCACGCAAATCGGATCATAAATCCACAACAAAAGTCCAAGGTAATTTTCACGTAACTGTTACATATTATGTTTAACTAGTTTATATGGAGAGCGTTTTCATTTCTATGCTCATTTCTCAAGTAATAAATACGACTAGACAAAAAAAAACTGGGAAAAGAAAGTCGCATACGTAAAGACAATTGCAGAGACGGTGCCGAGCTTATACTTGTTTAGTGTACCTATATACGCATTTAATCATTACATATCCATTTAAACATGCTTTATAATTGCATAATGTGGCGTATAATGAATTTATCAAATCTGAATTAAGTGTGTTCTACCAGTCTATGATTTTCTAATTCTCTAAATAAAATCTTCCTTCCTTCATTCCACGAGAGGAATTGAAGGAAAATCCATCTTCGTTCTTCAATGTATGGCCAGCACTGTACAAATAGACAGATAGCTTTAATCAATTGTACAAATAAAAAAAAATACAATTAAAATCGTCCAGTATTTATGAATGGGTTCATCTAAATTTCCTGCCTCCAGTCCTGTCACGGAAATGGTTTAAGTTCGTAGTAGTTTGTTAGAAATTACTAGATTAAACTATAAATTATGAATATGGAGAATTAATATGATATGACTTTCTTAAGGTTCAATTTTATTTTAATTTAAATTGCTCTTAATAATAGAAATGCATATAAACGTAAAACAATAAATAAAAATTAAGGACTAGTTTTTTTTTTGAAAATAAAATTTATAATAAATGGTTCTTTAATTTTTAATAATGAATTACATCTACTTGTGGGCGAACAGTTATCAATGTTATCATTATGCCATTACTTTAATTCTAAATGCTTAGTATAATAAATTATTGCTTGGCTTTCTGTTTGTTACATTTTTCCGCTTATATTAAGAAAAAATACCAATCCCAAAGGCTAGAAAAAGTTTTTAATGACAATTTATATACGATATATAAGGTTTGTTAACAGTATTCAAACCTATATTAAATTACTATCGAAGAAAATCGTGGCGAAGAGTGAATCATGTGAGTGTAAAGATTACTTCGTCAAGATTTCTGAACACCATATGTATGCCAAACTTGTCTCAAGCTAACGCATCGTACTTTGGTCCTTCCTGTCACTCGACCACTCGAATAGAAATTGTTGTCAAACAATAAAGCAATACCACATCTTTAAGCAATGATTTTACTAGGATTAATATTAATAACTATATTATTATAGGTGATGCTTGGGTAGTATTCTAGAGGTACTAAGAGTGGAGGATACTAATATTTATCTATAATTTTTAGATTTTTTTTAAATATCTTGACTGAATACAGACTAAACACCGCATTCGCATTTGTTCAGTTGTTCTCAAGACCAAAACAAATAGACAAAATACATACATTTACTAACACGAAACATGACAAACGATCTTTGAGGCAAAATCGCTAGGGTTGCTGCAAAGTACAGCGTTGAAAAGTATAATTATATGTCCCAGTAAAACAGTTATAGCCGTTATAATATGTCATATTACATGATAACATAATTATTATACGCCTGTAGGTGGACGTATTCTTTTTCAAGTAATTTATATTTTTATTCTTCCACAATTTTAATTTCGATACGCCTAAAAGTCACGAAAAAAGAACCGCAGATCTTGTATACCTAGTAATATATGATGGATGATTATGAGATTTGTACAGTTTATAAAGTGAATCGTCCTAATTATTTTCATGTAATAATCATATTTTTAGAAAATTGCTAAAAGTGTATAAATTATTCTCAAAAAATTATTAAAACTGCAATAACTAAACGATCAAGTGTTGTCAACACAGTCAGAACAATATTAGGCTTTACGAAGATAATAGGATTGTGTATGTAAGAATTGATAGTAAGATACGCTACGTTGACTTGTTGACAGCAATGAAAACTCATTTGTAACAGTCAGCTCAGCTTCAGTACAGCCTATTTATAAACTATAAACCGAAATAAGTTTTGAACGCAAAATATAAGTAAAGATCTGATAATTAAAACTGTAATAGTCGATGATATTACCAGCCAAATAAATACAACAATAATTGCTACCAGGAGGTACGTAAGGCGCTACAAAAGTCCCATACATGAAAGCTATTTTGTCCTTTAATTACGTGTCACAATTTTTTTACGTTGATCGGATAAACGTTAGGTACGGAAATAGCTCAAAATACAAAAGAACATATATTTGTACACACTAAATTATAAAACTAGACATCCCTATATAGAACAGATCCCTCGATATAGAACAGATAATTGCTTTAATGTTTATCTTGTAATTCCTGCAACATCTAATAAATAGTGGACTTGTATATAGTGTAAGTTATTTACTTTAATCTTTGATTACTAAAGCTGAAGTACTCAATACTCTTGATTAATAAGGAAATAATGACTCTTTCAACCTTGAAAAACTCGATAATATCTAAAGCCTGGTAAGGCAGTTACATGCATCATGAATGTAAGGATATAGTAATGTATTATTACATAGATATCGACATCGATATACGACTCGCCAGTTGGTCTAGTGGTTAGTGACCCTGACTGCTAAGTCAGAGCTAGAGCGTTTGATTCCCACACAGGACAAATAATTGTGTGGTTAGCACGAGCATTAGTTCTTTGTCTGAGTGTAATTTATCTATATATGTATGTAGTTAGTAATAGAAAAGTACATTTATCACCAGTCCGGTTAACATAGCACAGGTTCTACCTAGTTTGGGATCAGACGGCCGTGTGTGAGATGTGTCAAGTTTGAAATTTAAAAAAGTAACCTGTAAAGTGCTTTGTGCATTCCGCAAAGGATTTTAATTTGCCAATCAAGAGCCTTTGCGGAATGCATAAAGCTAACTTTATGTAACAAACTTTATAACTTAGTGTCTGATGCATGTTGACTTATTGTCAATATTGTAATAATTTTATCCCGAACGTTAGAAGTATAGGTTGACACGTTTCAATATATCATGCCATGCCTTATGAATAATCGCTCCCTTATTTATATTTCTTCTGTACAAATATCAGTATCGTCTCATGTTGTTGAATAGCATACTTATTAGTCATCAAGGGCTTAGTGGATTGCAAAACTTTCAACTCAATTTTTTGTCATTTTGCATCATGTTCTTCTGTAGACGATACAGACTAAACTGGTTAAGAGCCTCAGAAGCGAAAAACACTTACGCACTATTTTACTTTGAACTTGTAGAATCTGCTTTAAGTAGTAATAATAAAAAATGCCAATAAATAATGAGAAAGGTGAATAATGAGATTATCAAATCTTACCTGAATATCCTTCATTAAATGAAAATGTTTGACGAAAGACTGCAAATATTTATAAAAACATTCTCCCGTCGGATATGACGGTGTATCATCTGGAAAAGGAAAAGCGAACATTTCCATGGTGTGACGCGGGGTGTTTGTTCTGAAAAACATTTTCAAATCTGTAATTACGGCATGATTAATAATGAAATGCATATTTACAACCAGCCTTGTCCCCGTTGGTTGGTTGGATTCAAAACACAGTTGATATCAATACTAGCAAACTATTGAAAATAACAACAAGTAAAATCTAGCGTTTGTACGGTTTTGTGATTTTTACATAAGTTTGATCGAGCTTGTAGGTATATTGAAAATCCTAAGTTTAAAGAGACATAGACATACATTTATTGCATAAAACTGTGTGTACATAAAGGTGTTGCAACATATTAGCATTAGGATCAACAGTTACCCAGTTCAGGTGTTGCAATTTTTATAATTGGTAGTAATTAGTAAATGCAATTGAATTACAAAATTAAAATACGGCTACAATATTTTAAAATCCAAGAAATTTCACAGGCTATAGAACACATTATTTGTTAACCACTTTTTTATACTATTTCTGAACATATTTCCGTTTATTTTTTAACCGACTTCAAAAAAAGGAGGAGGTTCTCAATTCGACTGTATTTTTGTTTTTTTTTTTTTTTGTATATTTGTTACGCGATTACTCCGGCAATTATAAACCGATTTGAATAATTCTTTTTTTATTTGGTAGGTCATACGTCAGAGGTGGTCCCATTGTCACCAGGTCAGGATCTGATGATGGGATCCTGGGGAAATCGAGGGAAACCCTCAAATTTTGTAGGCATATACACTGTTTATCAGAAATTATCTTAATCTATGTAGATTTTTGCATCTAATGGTCACCATCTGATATTGCTGAGCTGATGATGAAGCTGATGATGAATGGTTTAGGAGTATGGCATCTCTGTAACAAAATTATGTAATACCATTGAATTTGAATGTGTTTGAGTCTAATTAATAAGGACTCCGATCCTATGTGATATTCAGGGTCTGATGATGGAGACGGTAAATAGCCATGGGAACTCTGTAATAAAATAAAGCAATTCCGCCGTGTTTGTGCTCATTTGATTCGTCTGGACTAGGAGCTTCATGCTAGTCGATTTTTAACCAACATCAAAAAAGGAGGGTTTTTGATTCGACAGTATGTTTTCTTTTTAACCGACTTCCAAAACACAAAAGAGGAGGTTCTCAATTCGTCTGTATTTTTATATTTTTTATGTATGTTTGTTCCGCGATTTCTCCGTCAATTGTGGACCGATTTTCAAAATTATTTTTGTAATCGAAAGGGTATGGTCCCGAATTGGTCCCATTACCACCAATTCAGGATCTGATGATGGAATCCTAGAGAAATCGAGGGAAACCCTCACAATTATTGGGAATTTGACAGCCCCGACAACGTGTTTTAGTTACGAGTATTTCTTTAGCCAAACAAACCATGGCAACCGTCAGAGACTGCGCGATATGATGCGCAGAGAACTTGCAGTATTTATGTCCCCACTGTAATTTTCGTTGTATTAAGAAGAAAAGGTTGAAATTTTGTATTCTATCTTGTTAAAATAATTCGGATTGACGTTTTGTTGCTATGGATGGCATCGCATTTCGTTTGTAAGTAATTTTATACTTAATTTATTAAAATAGTTCTGGAAAAAACTCTTAAATTTTGTGTGGGTCAACTTTCTAAGGAGAGGCCTATGTCCAGCAGTAATTTAATATAATCTAACAAACTACAGTTTGTTACTATACATTACGGTACGTAGAGTTTTAAATATCGTACTTATCTACTCATTACAAACATATCCTACACTAAAAATGGTAAAATAAACCCTTTTAAAAAAAAAGTTGAACCGACTTCAAACAACACCGACAAAGAGCACTAAAAATTAAAAAATAATTACAAATCTAAGTAAAAAACTATAATAAGTACCCTCAATGTAACAGGTAACATTATAATACCAATAGTCCCTTCTAATCTGTTTGAAGTCGGTGCCAAGCTCGATGCACAATAAGTAATACTGGTCTATGTCAGCTGTGTATTAGCACAATGAAAAATTAAGAATTCAAAATAATTCTAATGAAACATCGAAGATTTTGTTAATTAATAAAGACCAACCAGATAAATTACGTGCTCAAACTTATCAACTACTTATTAAACCATTCAAAATAATAATATAATTGGAGATGTGCGTCCACTTTAGCTCGTTCAACATGTTTTGCGCAGCATGAAGACTGTTGCAGCTGCCGCGCTACATTTTACCATGCCTATCAAGCACCTATTTGGCTTGGCACCGACTTCAAACAGACTAGAAGGGACTATTGGTATTATAATGTTACCTGTTACATTGAGGGTACTTATTATAGTTTTTTACTTAGATTTGTAATTATTTTTTAATTTTTAGTGCTCTTTGTCGGTGTTGTTTGAAGTCGGTTCAACTTTTTTTTTAAAAGGGTTTATTTTATATCTAATATATATGCTTTAGTAGTTTGTGGTATTTTAATTATATAAATATATAAAGTAATTAATACTAGGTAAGTTAATATTGTATTTATATTTATTGCCAAAATTTGTTTTTAGTCTCATTTCAAATTAAAGAAACTGTTATTGGATTTTATGAATAGGCATAACTCCATTATAATAGATGCCTGTTAATGTAAGAAAACTCTTTTCTTTAAATAAAATTAGTAGAGATTCAGTGTTTTGCTTACTGTGAATAATACGTAAACACTTTTTTGAAGCACAAACGTTGAGGAAGCGTTTGTTGAATTCGGCCAGTAAATTACACGGTACTGGAACTGGAAAAGTGATTCTCTCTAGCCTATCTACCCCCTAAGAGAGCTTAAGCAGAACAGTTTAACCGCGTTCTTCTGTAAACTCGGATGAGATGCCGAGGCGGGCAGCTAGTTACAAATAAAAACTGGATTAGGTTCTTTTTAAAAACCTATAAAATTAAGTTAGTTAAGTCAAAAATCATCAGTCTTTTACTTTAAAAAAGAAATTAAAACAGCGACGTGTAGCGTAGGTACCTGTAAATTGAACTAGCTCTTTCTATTATGTCCGAGTACTTTGATATATGTAAATCTTGACCGTATACGTACGTTTTTCTTTCCTTCGTATACGGTAATGACTTCGTGATTAAAAATCAATATTTGTGTACTGTTCTTGTTTAATGAAAAAATAATTCGTTATCTAATATCCGCAGTTTCACCTCTCTTAAACGGGCAGGTAGTTATAACGCAATCAGTGCTAAATACGAAACGTTACAAAGCTTACATGAATAATGTTAAGTTTAAGAGTAGGTATACAACTTACTTTCCCTTGCAATAACCTTTACTGCTAAAAGCTTGCATAAGAACAAGTCTTTGGCACTAAAACTCGTCCACGATAGACGATATTAAATATTTAAATAACCAAAGTTTTAACTGCTAAGATAAGTATGTATGTAAGTATGTATGTTATTATTTTTCATCTTTATAAATGTTTACAAAAACTATCTTTATAAACGATGGTATAAAAGAACCTTGCATGTGCTTTTCCAACGACAAATAAATAGGTATGGAAGTATCACTTGAAATAAACTTGTCTCGTTTATCTCCATTAATTTCGTCTTTTTACTTTAGGCAAAAAGTATTTTCAGTGTAAATAAATGACGCCGACTATATTATAATTTGAATAGGTAACTTACGTGTTCATATACATTCCTTCTGTTATAAGTAATATAAGTAAAAAATTAACACTTTACAGGAGAACAAAACAATATTTAAAAAATTCTAGTTCGCGATCTGTGTTAGGTTATATTTGAGTACCTTCTTTTGTAGATAATATTAAAGTTTTAAAGTAATTCTTGAAAACCTGTTAGTTGTACTTTTCTTATTTCTAATACATGCTAAAACGACGTGGTAAATGATACAAGTCCGATTAAATTATGTTGCGACTGTGAGTTGTCCTCGTCTAAATTGATATACCTTATGTACAAATATTTAATAACTCATTAGAATATATTTCTGGCGCAGTTGGTGAAAAGAATAACAAAAAAATCGAAATTTATTTGTATTATGCACAATTTTTTTTTTTACGAAGGTGGTCTTATCGCTGTTGGCATTCTCTGCCAGTCTACCTTGGGGTGGTGTAGAAATGAGTGATTAGGTGCACTAAACCTGAATAAAAGACTTAACTAAGAAATACATTCACATAAAAGACAAGCGAGAAAATGGGGATAGAAAAAAGGATAAACATAAATTGATATCCATTATAACTGTCTTACATACAATGTATGTAACATACATACTTATATACATACATACAAATAAATAAAGATAATCCATATAATATATTATTATTAATCCATCCATCCATGATGATGTAGTTTCTTTGTGTGTGAGAAGACACAGGTGAGATGTTCATTTATCAGTCTCCTGATTTCATCAGTTTTGCTAAAATCTTGGCCTATTATGTTTATTTAAAAATTTAAATTCGTATCTGTTTAAAATGATATAACGATAATTATATCAATATTTACGATAAGTATACTGTAAAATAAAATGCAAAAATTAATTTAATAGCACTTTTAACACGAAGCACGAAAAATTGTGTTCAGCAATTATTTAGAGAGGTTACAACTTGAAATATATATATATCTACGATATTTTTTTTTTTTTACGATATTTTCGATCCTGCCAGGTATATCACTTTCCACAAAATTAGCTCCGAAACTATAGCAGACAAAAGAAAAACAAAAAAAAAATCTGAAAATTTCTATGTAAAAATCACAAAAAGGGTACAACTCGACTGAAATCGCTCATCACAGGAGTCATCACAGACTTATATGTTGATCAAAAGAAAGTTCCATTCATGTAATATAAAACTTACCTTAAGCCCTTGTATTGACTGGTGAATAAGGGCAATCCATTTTCATCCGTGCCCACATGAGGGTCGAATCGCCAGGTGCCACCGATGTAACGCGAGGCTTCAAAAACCGTGTAATTGAGGCCATATTCTTTCATGTAGCGAGCCGTACTTAACCCGGAGTAGCCAGCACCGATAATACATACTCGAGAGGTTGGATTGGGCTGAAAAGAACAAATTTACCTAATTGCGTATTTGTTAATAGATACACATAACATATAAAAGCAGTATCTGCATATAACGTTACGGTCTTAAAAATATGTGGTACTATTTTTGTATTTAGTAAGAAGTAGTATTTATTTGAACTGAAAATTGATCTGACTGCCTCGGTGGTGCAGGGGTAGCGTATGCGGCTGCTGTGCTGAGTTCTCTGGTTCGATTCCTGGGTCGGACCGAATGTTTGTATGATCTGCAAATATTTGCTTCGGATTTTGGGTGTTTTTTATGTATAATATGATTGTTTTTACAAGTATATAACTACTCTATCAGTTAATCCAGCTTCATAGTACAAACTCTGCTAATTTGAAAATAGATAGCGTTGTGTGTGAGATGTCCAAAAATATATTAAAAATATCTAATATATGTTAACCTGACTTGCTCCAGCTATTGCTAATATCCTTAATAAATCGGTGTAAGTAATATTCCCTTCCTACCATCGTCTTGCTTTCTTATTTATAAAGAGCCCGGTTGATGAAAATAGGCTCTATTACTTAATTGGAACCAAAATAAAATTTTATATGAATATAGCAAATTTAAAATAAATAATTACTAATCATAATTAGTTTACAACATAAGTGAGGTACTTGACACCGATTAGTCACATATCCCTTGTTTTGTGGCCCAAATTTTTATCACACATAAAATTTATCTTTGTCTTACTGACATACCGTTAGATAAATTATAAAAATAGGGTAATTATTACTTAATTGGTTTTTAACTTACGGTCGGCGAAAGTTTAGTACGACCTAAATTAAATTCTGAGTTTCGTAATGATCATTACTTTTCAAATAAATGAAAAGCCTATCAAGAAAAGCAAAATTAAAAATCATTCTTATCTGGACTTCCAAATTAATGTAAAGAACTAACTATGAGTATAGCTTAGTACATCGAATTATAAAAAACCTTTTCATGGTTAAGGCTCTATTTTTTTCTAAAATTTAATTACAGTTATGTTACTGTTATTTTAAACGTTGCTTCAAACGACAGAATTATTACATTATGCCTCAAGATTGTACTGGCTCTTTTCTTTTGCTTCTTTGGCAAAGACAATGTTCCGCATAATTCGTAATTAAACACAATGGCCCTAAAAATTACTGCCGTACTGGGATATCAATACTTTTGTTTTCAAGCTATTGAATTTGGATTTGGGACACATGGCCAAGTCGTCGTTTTGTTGGTGGGTGGATTCCGACTTTCGAGCTTTATTTTGTTAAGTATTGAGATGTAGGGCCCTGCAAATGACCCTTAAAATGGACAAGCCCCTGGTCTACCATATACTTATATGACAATATCAACAATATTATTCTGAGACGAAGCCGTGTTGAATAATGTTTGTGCTAAAATTCTAACTCGATAAAAGGCAAATTAATCTTTCCATACCTGCAAAAATTACAATTTTGTGTGTGCAGTGCATGTAGCACTTAATAATTTTAAAGTTTCTTATTAATTAACTTTTTTTTATGTTGGAGGGGGCAGACGAGCAGACGGGTCATCTGATGGAAAGTGACCATCGCCGCCTATTAACGTCTGCAACTCAGGAGTCACAAACGCGTTGCCGGCCTTTTAGGAAGGAGTACGCTCTTTTCTTGAAGGTCGTATCGGTCGAAATTCTGCAGACGATAACCCGTTCCATAGAGTGGTTGTGCGGGGCAAAAAGTGTCTCGAAAAGCGCACAGTAGTGGAGCGCCAACTATCCAGGTAATGAGAATGTAGAGTGAAGCGACATCTCGACGTAACGCCAAGGGATCAGCCGATCGGAGATGTTGGGCTATCGAAGATTCGAGTCGCTCTTCGTTGGATGCGGTCCAGAGGGAGAAGCTGGTACTAAGGTGCCCCTGCATAGAGATGAGAACAGTATTCCATATGCGGCCGGACTTGCGCCTTATAGAGCTGAAGGCGGTGGACCGGAGTAGAATACTGCCTCGATCTGTTAAGTACACCGAGCTTCTTCGAGGCCAATTTGACTTTACCCTATAAGTGACCCCGAATCTGGATTTCGCTCGATATGTCGATGGCAAGGATTCCGATGCTGGCTGAGGCAGTTAGGGAGGCGCTCTCAAACTGAGGTGATATGACAAATGGTATCTTTTTTGCGGTGAACGCACAGACCTGTGTATTTTTTGGATTGAACTGGACTAGATTTAGTCGGCCCCAATCTGAAACCTCCGCTAAGGCAGTTTCAATTTCAGACACAAGTTTGTTTCGACTCTCAGTGACGTTAATTAACTCAAACCATAATCATAAATCAATTTGATGTTTGGTGGTGGTGAAAAAATTGTGTTAATTATGCAAATATTTGGGTGGTAAGCATGACCTTTTGTTCTGTCTGGGTGTAATTTATATACAATTTAAATGTATGTATTTCATAAGAGATAAGTATGTTAATAAACCGTCTGGCTACTATAATACAAACTACCTGGTTTAAGATCAAAAGGTATTAGGTTACTAGGTATACTATACAACTGTATAAGCAAGCTTGAGTAACGTTTATAAATACTCATTTGGTATTTAATTTAACACAGCGAAGAATACTCGTTTGATAACCTCGTTGAGCTAAAATAAGAGCGGCTGTCGAGAAGAATAATATGATAATATATATATCTAGAAGACTTGATATTTCTCGAAGTAATATTTTGTTATTTTGTTTGAGCCAACGCCTGAGTGCTGACCGTGGACACGGCTCTCCACACGCTGGCAGAGTGCCCGGCGTGGGTTGAGCAGAGACGAGACCTCGTGGTGGCCATCGGAGTCGGAGTTCTCTCGCTCGATAGCCTGATTGCGGCTATCGTGCGGAGCGAGAGTGCGTGGAACTCTGCCGTCTCCTTCTGCGAGCAAGATATGCTCGCGAAGGAGACTGCGGAGCGGGACTGGGAGAGGTTTAGAACTGTCATGGCCCGCCAGGCCCGGGAAGAGGGAGAGCCCAGAGGGAACATGGGGTTCCCACACGGGGGGGGGGGGGGTCGTCTACTCGTCTGTAGATGGCCCGAGGTATGTCGGGGCACCAGGGACTTCCTTTCTAGGGTATACCTGGTTCCCCGGCTATTAGTACCCGAGACGGCGTGCGGTTTTAGTCGGTTCGAGTCCGACATGCCACCGACAGGTGGTATCCGAGGGGATTTCCGCACGGAAAAAAAAAGGTGGTTTGAATTAATCGGTTTTGATGGTACAGTTATTAATTCGTAATGAAATTAATAATTTATTTCATAATAATAGTGTAAAACATTAATAAAAGTAGTTCGTGTGCAATTTCCTCACTAAATTACATCCACCTTGACTGCAATACTGCATGGCCAAGGTTGGTAAAATATATACTCTTTCGGAAGTAATTTATAAGTAATATACACAGGTTTTATTACATCTTTAATATGTCTTCACTAACTTCAATCCGAACAAATACCAAATATCATTATTTAAACATTTAAACAAAAAAAAATCTTTAAATAAATGTCTATAAAGTACAAAACATTTGATTATGACATAGAGCACAGACATAGAGACATTGCACGATACCTATTCCTAAAAACCAGTTTAATTTTTTTCTGTTCCATCTTTAGATTACCCATCTTCTACGGCATGACCGATTTTGATAAAATTAACTACCAGGTAGTTGTCGATATAAGGAGTAACTTAGGCTATTTTTTCTATAACTCTATGAAATTTTTCCCGGCCCCGGAGTCGAACCCACTAAGGCAGCGTTTTTCAAATATTATTTTAATGACATCTCACGCATTTGGAATATATTATTCTGTGTCGCGGGGGACTTTACAAACATACATGAAACGGACACAAAGAACACCCACACACACCCACACACAAACAACACACAAATTATAATATAAGTATGGACTAGAAAATTCTAAATTTTGCCGGAGTTGAGTGACATTATGTAAGGGAAATCTGGACTCACTTCTATATGCATGCCCTACGTAACATCATGAGGTTTTAGTCAGGTTGATTCTGATGAAACCGCCTTATCGTTATAAGAATAACAAACAATATAAGCCCTAAATGAAGAAACCAACCGTGTGGTGACGGATCAACCGTGTGGTGACGGATTAAGAATACAAATTGTCACCACCCCAATTCATCCCGTGGGTGTCGTAAGAGCCGACTAAGGGAGCAAACTAAGCAGGACAACAGCACTGCAAAGAGAAGGAAAACAAACCCTTTTTTTTTTTTTTTTTTTTTTTTAACCTGTGGAAATCCCCTCGGACCGTCACCCCTCCGGGGTTTGCGGCGGGGTGGTGTGTCGGACTCGGACCGACTAAAACCACACGGTGTGCCACTCTGCGCCTGTAACAGGAGGGATCCGGGAACAGCTGTTGTTAAGACATCCGGACCCCTCCTAGCGCCAGCCCGCTCCTGGTGCGGGCTCCGTCTCAATATTTTTTTTTCCTCTCTTTAGGCGACGTCCGGCACACGCGGACGCCGCCCCCTCGCGGCTGGCCAAACTAATGCGGGTGGAGGGGAAACCCACCCCGTCCACCCGCGGCCACACTCAGGGCGGCATGAGGCTGTGTTAGCCGGGCCTCCGCCGCCCGGTTCGCCGGCGGCGGATCGGGTCCGAGTGGAGGTCGTCCTCCCGGGCCCTCTCCGCCGCCTCCTTCCGCGAGATTACTACCTCGCAGAAGGTTGCGACCGCGGTAAAACAACTGTCGCTACCGGCCATGGAGCGTACTACGGCCGGTAGCGAGAGATCCACTCCGATGACTGCAGTGAGGGCCCGGCGCTGCGCCGCCTATGCGGGGCAGACCGCCAGCGTGTGCTGGGCCGAGTCCTCACTGCAGTCGCAGTGGTGGCAGGCGGGACTCAGTTCCCTCCTAGCGACCGTGTGCAGGTACTTTCCGAAGCAACCGTGCCCGGAAAGCACCTGCGTCAGCCGGAAGGAAAGGGTCCCGTGCTGCCGCCCTGCTCACTCGGCGATGACCGGCTGGAGAGCCTCCAC